GTAACAAAAAAAAAAAAAAAAAAAAAAAAAAAAAAACATGCAAATTACATGAATATTTAAACATAAAAAAAAATAATATTAATTTTGATAAATTTTCAAAATTACTTTTCATGTAAACTAAATTCTAGCAATTTTACATATAAAAAGTAAAAATATAAAATGAAAAAATGTGATAGAATTAAAATTTTTTTTTTTAACATAAGCTTGTTGGATAGAATGCACAAAAAAAAAAAAATAAAATAAAATAAAATAAAATAAAATAAGAAATATTTAAAGACTTAAATTTTTTATTAATTGTAATTTCCTTATAAATATTTCATTTTAAATTAATAAAGAAATTTATTTTTAATATAGAAAAGAAAAAGAAGAGGAAAAGGAAGAAAAAAAGGGAAAGAAAAAGAAAAAAGAGAAAAGCATAAACTAATAAGAAACAACAAAAATAAAAAAGTTATATTTTTATTATATTAAAAATTTTTTAAGAAAATGTCAGTTTTACCTACAGTTCCAACACAAAAAGATAATAAATTTATGATGGATATAAAAAAGTTCCTTAATCAAAAAATTCGAGTAAAATTTGATGGAGGAAGAGAAGGTTATTAAGATAAAAAGATATATGTTAATTAGAATAATTATATATATGAATACATTAAATTTCTGAAAGATAAAAAATAAAAAAGTTAAATTAAGAATATAAATATGCTTAATAATGAATTTTATATTTTTTTTTTTTTATATTTTTGATTATATTACATTTAGTAATATATATATAATTTTTGAATTTTATTATAATATTTTTTTTCAAACTTTAGTTGTTGGCAATTTAATTGGTCATGATGCTATTTTCAACTTAGTTTTAGATAAAACTGAAGAATATATTAGAGGTATAATTATAAAAAAAAAATAAAAAAAAAAAGACTTTATTTCTTTTTTTAATATTAAGTCTTATTTATTAACAGATCCAAATGATCATTTTGTTTTAACTGAAAAAACAAGAAGCATTGGTTTGATTGTCGCTAGAGGCACATCGGTACTTTTTTATTTTTGCTAATTCATTTTTAATAACCAAACATTAATAAACAATTATGTGAATTTTTTTTTTTATAGGTTGCTTTAATTACACCAGTTGAAGGAACAGAAGAAATATCAAATCCTTTTATTACTTCACAAAAATAATATTTTTTATTTTTTATTATTAATTATAAATATTTCATAATTGAAAAACAAAAAAAAAAAAGAAAATGTTTTCTTTTATTTCTTTTTCCGTACAAATACAAAAAACTAAAAAAAAACTGCTTTAAGAAATAATTTATTTGAATAGTATTTCTCTAAAAATTAATAATTAAAAAAAAAAAAAAAAAAAAAAATTTATATGAACAAGTCATAGTCATATTAATAAAAATATGTATATAATTATATTTTTGAGATATTATCAGAAAAGACATAATAAAAAAAAAAACATTAGTATTACAAATAAATATTAGAATAAATTATTTTATTGAAAAAAATTATATGTATATATATATATATATATTTATATATATATATATAATAAAATATAATGGTAATACTGTTATAAATCATCTTATAGGAAGAATTAAAAAAAAAAAAAAAAATGAAACAATGTAAGGTAAATAGCGAAAATATTTTCATATATTTTTATTTTTCTTATAAAAAATAACCAAATACATATGAACAAAGGAAAATATATGTATGGACATATATGGAATATAAGTAATTCTACAAACAATGTAGAAATATATATAAGGGAATTTGAAAATTTTTTTGTGTTTTCATATAATTAAATAATAAATATTCATAAAAAATAAAAAAAATTCTTATAATGTTATATATGTTACTAAATGATAAATTATTAGTATTATAGAATTTTTTTCTTTTCAATTTTATCATTTTATATCTTGAAAAGTTTTTTTTTTTAATGCGGATTAAAATATATTATACTTCAATGTATATTTATAATTTTTATTATAACTATTATCACTAATGTTATTATTATTTTTATTTTTTCTTTTATTTTTAATTTTTTTACGGGTGTAAATTAATATTATGTCTTCTAAAAGAGCTTCTATAACCAAACGACATATTACATTTGGGACAAAAGAATCTTTTAACGCGATGATGAAAATTAATTATATGTTCTTTCAAGCTAAATTCGGAAGAAAATTCTTTATTGCAATTATTTATATTACAATTATAATTTGTTTTAATTTTTAAATGAACTTTATTAACATGTTTGTTATATCCATTAATATGCAAATATATTTTGTTGCATTCTAAGCAAACATACTTTTTTTTAAAACAACTTCTTTTATGCTGTATAAATTCTTTATACATAAGAATTTTCTTACAGCAAACTGGGCAAGAATAGAAAAGATTGCATTTATGTTTGTTTAAATGATATTTCATTTTTGAAATGGTAGAATAAGAATAAGAACAATTCTCATATGGACATTTATAATGGCGAATTTTATGATGTCTTAATTCTTTTGATGTGCTAAAACATAATTGACAAATTGAACACTGAAATTTTTTTTCTTCTTTATTTATATCATGTGTCATAGCATGTTTTCTTAAGTGATCTGATCTTTTATATGTTTTTGAACAAATTTCACATTTATAAGGGCGTGCATCCGAATGGACACTCATTAAATGCCTCCTCATTAATTTTTTGTTTGCAAACACCATATTACATAAATTGCATGTTCTTATTTCTATTGGAGTATTATTTACATTATTTAATTCTTCTTTAATGTCATCTTTTTTCTCTATTACTGCTGTTATATCTTCATTTTTTTTTAACTCTATACTTTGTTGATTATTATCTATAATAATTTTATTTTCATTATTATCATTTTGTAATGTTAAAATTTTTTCATTTATTTTACCATATGTTTCATTCTTTTCATTTTCGTTATTATCCTTTTCATTTATATTACTTTCCTTTTCATTTACATTATTTTCCCTTTCATTTACATTATTTTCCTTTTCATTTACATTATTTTCCTTTTCATTTACATTATTTTCCTTTTCGTTCACATTATTTTCCTTTTCATTTACATTATTTTCCTTTTCGTTCACATTATTTTCCTTTTCATTTACATTATTTTCCTTTTCGTTTACATTATTTTCCTTTTCATTTACATTATTTTCTTTTTCGTTCATATTATTTTCCTTTTCATTTACATTATTTTCCTTTTCATCTATATTATTACCTTTTTCATTTGTATTTTCTTTTTTTTTTAAAGAATCTATTTCGTTTGCATCGCAAATTTTTTCCTTTATATTATTGCTATCATTTAAAATGGATTTATCTTTATCTAAGTTATTTGTTTTTTGATTTGCAATAGACGTATAAGAACAATTTTCATTAGAACATTTCGAATGCTTTAATTTGCACATACTTAATTCTTTTGATGTTTTAAAAAATAATTGGCAAATAGAACATTGAAATTTTTTTTCTTCTTTATTTATATCATGTTTCACTACATGCTTCTTTAAATGATCTGATCTTTTATATGTTTTTGAACAAATTTCACATTTATAAGGTCGTGCATCCGAATGAACGCTTGTTAAATGTCTTCTCATTAATTTATTATTTGCAAAAACTGTATTACATATGTTACATGTTCTTGTTTCTATTGGAATATTATTTACATTGTTGAATTCTTCTTTAATATTACTTTTTTTCTCCACTATTGACTTAATTTTAACCTCTATTTTTTTTGAAAAATGTTCATTATTAATTTCCTTTTCATTATTTTTATTTTCTGTGTCAACATTATCTTTATTTTCATTTTTTAATTCATTTTCTTCCATGAACTCAATATCAACTTTTTCATTTGAATTATCTTTTTCTTTTATGCTATTTTTTTCATTTAAATTACTGTTTTCATTTTTATTATTTTTTTCATTCATGTTAATTTCCTTACTTGTATCACTTTTTTCATTGTTATTGTCTCTTTTATTTATATCTTTTTTTTCACTAGTATCATGTTTTTTATTTATATCATTTTTTTCAATGCTACGATGTTTTTCATTTATCTCCTTTTCTTCATTAAGATCATTTTTTTCTTTATTAATCTCTTTTTCATCCATATTAATTTCTTTATTTGCACAATTTTCTTTATTTATAATACCTTCTTCACCTAATGACTTTTCTTCATTTAAGTCTGTTTCTTCATTTTCATTCGTCTTTTCATTCAAAATGATTTCTTCATTTGCAGTGCTTTCTTCATTAATACAATTTTCTTTGTTAATATTTTTCTCTTCACTTACAATTTCTTTTTCATCTAACAAATTTTCATAAGAATTTTTGTTAATTTTTTTTTTTACTTCATAAAAAATTTTAGAAATTTTATTTGACACATTTTCGTAAAACATATTCCTCTTTTTTGTTTGCCTTAAATTATACATATTTTCATTATTTTCACATAATACTTTACTTTTTTCATTACTTTTAAGATTATCTCCTTTATTTTTTTTATTAGTCTTACTCTTTGAGAATATATCATTTTCTTCAACTTCTTCTTTTATTCTATTTTCATTTACTTCTTCTTTTATTTTATTATGTTCGTTAATTTCTTCCTTTACTATTTTTTCTTTATTTGTTTCATTTTCATTAATTTCTTCTTTTACTTTATTTTCTTTAACTGTTTTATTTTCTTTGTTTATTTCAATTTCTTTGTTTGCTTCTTTTTCTTTAACTTCTTTATCTGTTTCACTACTCTCCATAATTTCTTTATCATATATATCATTTTCATTGTCTTTTTTATATTTCTCATTTTTTTTAGTATCCTTTTGTATTTCATTTTCTTTGTTTGATCTTTTATTCCTATTTTTTATTTTCTTTAATTTATTTTTTTTATTTTTTTCATTAACCTCACTTTCATTTTCTTCATTTATCTCACTACCGTTATTATCTGTAATTGAAGATATATCACTTTCATGGCTAATATTATTTTCCATCTTATTATTTATCTGATCATTATGTACATTATTATAATTAGGACATTTTATATTGTAATCATCTTTATTACATAATTCATCTACCTCTTTATTTAATACTTTTGTTTTTTTTCCAGATTTACTACTTTGTATATTATTTATTTTATTATCTTCTTTATTTTTCTTAAGAAGAGTATTTTTTAAATTATTTTCTTTTTTATTTTCTCTAACTAAATCGTTCAAATTATTAATTTCATTTAACGGAATATAAAACTCGACTTCTTTTTCCATTATATAGGCACTTTTATAATCATTAATTATATCATTTTCATTATTTTTTTTATTTTTATCCTTAATATTGTTATTATCTTTAAGTATGTCATTTCCTTTTTTTTTTAGTAAACTTTTTTTATCCAAATTCTGTATGTCATCTTGAACTTCATAGTTCTTGTTACTATTTTTCTCATTTTTTTCAGGATTCTCAGATAACTCATTTTGTATATTTAAAAATTCTTCATCACTAATAATATCATTATCATTCTTCTGAGAACTCTCCGAACTATCAGTTTTTATAACTTTTTCTATTTTTAGTTTATTTGTAGAATTATTACCTATACATAAATTATCTGAAACATGAAAACTAGAACTTCCATTTTCATCATCACTTTTAGAATACAAATTTAAACACATTTTTTCTTTATTTTTTTGATTTTTCTTTTCAATAAAATTTTTAAAACTTTTTTTCATATTCTTAGTGAGAACAAATGAACTCTTTACGTCTTCAATAAAAGAATCATATATATTATCTATTTTAATTGTTTCTAGAATATCATTATTTAAATTATTATTTATGTCTTCATTATCGTTTTTATTATTATAATTTGAATAAAGTGACAAATAACTTTGAAAACCAACAGAATTACATTCACTGTTTTGATCTTTATCTTTTTCTTCAAATTTATTTGTATTTGAAGAACCTTCATCAAATATACATGATGATTTTTTTTTTTTTTCATATTCAGAATTTAAGTTTTCATATTTTTTTTTATACAAAACACTTTTATTTGTATTTTTTACATTCAAATCATTTGAATCACTTAATTTTATTTTTTTAAAACATTTTTCGCTTGTTTCATTGCTATCAACTTTTTCATCCATATCAAATTTCTCTTTATTATCATTTAATACTTTTATTTTATTCCAGTTTATATTATTTTTTAAAAATATTTTTTCACTTTCACTATATATATTATTGTTTAAATCCTCATCAATATAATACAGAACTTTCTTGTTCTTTAAATTATTGTTCATTTTTTGAATGTTCTAACATAATACTTTTTTTTTTCTTTATTTTTTGCATTTACTCATAACCTTTATAATATTTTTTACCATAAAATTTTTAATCATATAAAACTTTTTTTTTTTTTTTTTTTATTTTTTTATTATTTTTTTTACACAATTAGAGGCACATTTTAAAAATTATGACAATTTAAATTGTTATTTTCTTTTTTAAATACAGTTAAATTACTTTTTATAAATATACTCAATTTATATTGTATTTTCTTACTAGAAATATTATATTTATTTTAGAGAAACAATATACAAAATAGCAATATGCATGTTATTATATCTTTTCACTTTAAGTATTTAATGTGTTTAATAGTATTAAATGTATTATTTTCTTATTATTAAAATAAAATTCATTATAATTATATACTTTTTAAAGCATTATTTAGAATATAAATTAAAAAAAAATACTAAAGAAAAATTTATGAAAAATTCAAAAAAAAAAAAAAAAAAAAAAAAAAAAAAATAGAATGATAATTGCTATTAAGTCAAAAAAAACCCTTAAATGTTTTACAGAAAAAAAGAATATATTGTAAAAACAGCACAAAAGAGGAAATATTAAAAAAAAATATAGTTTTAATGAAAATAACTATCTGTATTCTTTTGTACATATATTTTTTATGTAAAGTATAAAAATTGTTATAAAAGAAAATGCTTTGATTAAAAACTAAAATATATTAAAATGTAAAATAAAAAAGGAAAACTTCTTAATCATCATTTATATCAAGTATTTTTATTTAAATTATAATTATCTGCTTTTATAAGAAATGTAAGAATTCTATTTGCAATAATTGGCAATAAAGGGGAGAGAATGAAATTAACAAAAATGTTAAGAAATTGTAAATAATATTATAAAAACGTTAAAAATGGGAATTTTTAATTCTTAAGTTGTTTAATAATAATTAGTAAAATAAAAAATGTATTTTCTTTTTTTTTTTATTTTTTATTAATTTATAGGGAAACTCTAAATTGTTAGAAGCTAATTTTTCTAAAAAAATTTGGCTTTCGAAAAGTTGAAGGCTATTTTAAAAAAGCCATCATTTTTTCTATTTTCTTTTCTCCATTATTTTGTTTTTCTTTTCTTTTCTTTTCATTTCCTTTTTTTCTTTTGTTTTCCTTTCCTTTTGTTTCTTTTCCCTATTTTTTTTTTTTATAACTGTGCATTTTTTAAATTACTAAAAATTGTATATATAAAAAGGAAAACAAACACTAATAGAAAATAAATTTTATTATTAAGATTTTATTTACAATTTAATTTTTAATTACACAAGTAGGTAATATATATTTCTTTAAACTTACAATAGCAGAATTTTTCATTTTGTTTAGTAAAAATAAAAAAAAAAAAAAAAAAAAAAAAAAAAAAAAAAAAGGTGAAATTTCATTAGTTTTCTGAAGATGCACTAAAAACTAAAAATAAGAAAAAGAAAAGTTATTTATTTTTTTTTTCTCCTTCTCTAATCTTCGTTTTGATTTTTAAATCAGTTTATAAAATAAAAAAAATTTTTTTTTTTTTTTTTGAGTTGATGTGAATAATTTAAATATATCAAAGATAAAATCATTAAATTCTTAAAAGCAAAGATATTTTATTAAATTTTTATACTTACATAGTAATATATTTTGCACTAAAATAATTTTTTCAATAATAAAAGAAATTTATTTATTTTTTTTTTTTTTTTTGTTACTTCAATATAGTTTATTGAATGAAAACTTATGTCGTTTTATGAATTAATTTGTAACATATATTACAATTTTTCACTATTTTTAAAAAAGTTCTATAAGCAACTTTTTTTTTTTTTTTTAAAATAACAAAAAAATAAAAGTTAAAAGCAAGAAAAAAAAGTATATGATGATATACACCTAATTTAAAGTGTTAGACAAAATGACACTTAAGATTGTTTATTTATATATATAATATTTAATCTTATTATAATTAACATTTTTGGTAAAAAAAAAAAAAAAAATAATATAAAATAAAAAATTAATAAAATAAAATAAAATAAACTTTTTAATTTAGATCATAAAGAAATGTAGATTAATATTACACAGTGATTTTTTTTTTTTTTTTTTTTTTTTTTCCTTTTAGCAATAAAAAGAAAATAATTAACAATTATAAAACTGATATATCATTTTATTATCTTTATTTATTATAGATATATAAATATATAATTTGATTACTTTTATTTATATAATCACTGTAATTTCTATTATAAATTTAATAATTTACTATAAAGAATTTAATTTAAAATATTATTAATTATCTTATCAGATTTTTATTTATATATTTAATCATTTATTTTGTATAAATAATAATAATTATTTTTTATATTTATTTTTTGAAGTTAATTTAAAGATTTCTTTATTTTGTAATTAGCTTTATTTTTATTATTTTTCTATTTAAGTGCTGTTATTAATAGATGTGGTAAATGGAATTTATTAAAAATTTCATTTAAATTAAATATAATTGAAGTTTACACATATGTATAAATTGAATTTGATATAATTGAATTAAATTTATTATAATTATTGATAATTTTAATTATTAAAATGGTAATTGAATTAGTGGTCAATTTAGAAAATCACAAAAGAAGGATATGGAGTATATGCTGGAGTCCAGATGGAAATTTTTTAGGATCTGTAGGTTCAGATAAATATATAATCATTTGGCAAAAAAAGAAAAATACTAGAATTAGAAATATAAATAATGGAAATAAAATTGTGAATACTTCTAACACATATGGAGTAAAAAGATATTTAAAAAGTCAAATAGAGTTCGATATATATGACATAATCGAAACAAATCATGAAAAATCATTGAGGCATATTGAATTCTCAAAAGATGGTAATTTTTTTGTTGTCGCTTCTTTTGATTCAAGATGTTCTATTTATAAGAAAAATAGAAATAACAAATGGGTTTTTTATAAAACATTAGAAGGTCATGAAAAGGAAGTAAAATGCGCTTCTATTCATCCATCAAATAAATATATAGTAACTTGTGGAAGAGATAAAAGCATATGGGTACATGCAAAAGTAGACAATTTAGAAAAAAAAAGTTTGAAAAGTAATAGTTATAATCGTAGAAACGCACTAACTAATTCTAATCCTAATTCTAACAATAATACTTTACTAGATGATCACACGAATTTTGATTTTAATTTTGATGCATATTTAACTGCTCACACAGAAGATATTAAATTTGTTTCGTGGTGTCCTTTAAGTGAAAACACTTTTATTTCATTATCTTATGATAATTCAATAAAAATATGGGATAAAAGATTGGATGAATGGAATTGCATTCAAACATTAACCGAACATTCATCGGTAGTATGGTGTGTTACTTTTAATTTTGATGGTTCTGAATTTGCTACTTGCTCAGATGATAAAACTATTAAAATATGGCAAAGTGATAAAAAAAAATTATATAACAAAAAAAAATATCCATTTCTATATAAACAAATAATCAAAGATATTAAAGAAACTCCAAATAACCACCATAAAAATTATTTAGGTAGAATGAATAGCTACAGTGAAAATAGAAAAAAATATGCAAACGAAGAAAAAAAAAAAGAAAAAAATATTAATGAAGAAAATATAATTAAAAAAACTAATGTAAATAACAAAAAAAAAGAACAAGAGACAAAAAATAAAAAGGATTGTGACTCTTTTAATTTCATCTTTGTGAATTACTCTGAAAAAGGACTCAATATGCAAAATATATTAAAAATGTATGTTCAAAATAAATTTGTTCCTTTATATTTTCAATATGGTCTTTTTAAATTTTTGTATAAATATTTTGAAACTACAAAAAATACAAAAAAAAAAAATTATTCTTGTGAAAAGATACAAAAAGAGTTTAATGAAAAAAATCAAAAATCAAAACTTGAATCAGTTGATAAAAATGATATGAATAATAAAAACACTGAAAAAAAAACGGATAAAAATAATGAAGACAAGATAAATAAAAGTAATATAGATAAATCAATTATAAATAATAATAAAGAAAAAATTAACAGTTATAATTCAGATAAAATGTATAAAAATAACAATGAAACAATAAATAAAAAAAACGTAGAGACAGGAGGTTCTAGAAACATTAAAAATGTAGATACGCAAAAAGAAAATATAAAAGATATTGTTTTTGATGATTGGAAAATTAAACATGTTATAGAAGGTTATCATAAAAGAAGTGTGAGCTATTTGGATTGGAATCCATATGAAAATTTAATTGCAGTATCATCTTTTGATAATTCTCTAAAAATATTTGAAAAAACAAAAGATAAATGGGATTTGATTGAAAATGTTGAAAATGCTCATTTAACTGATGTTAATTGTGTTGTTTGGTGTCCTCAAAAATATCAAGATTATTTTTTGTTAGCTACTGCAGGTGATGACTGTGTTATTAACATATGGAAATTTGTAAAAAGGTAAATTGTATTTCTTATTTATTTTTATTTACATTTTATTGTTCTTACCTTTTTTTTTTTTATTTTTTTTTGTCAATGACTCACCCTTTTTATGTTTATTATTTTGAACATATATACATAAAATTAATTTTATTATTCTAATTATGAAGACACATATCTTTTAAAAATTTTTTAATATCTATTTATAATGCATAATAAAATTTTATTTTATTTTATTTTATTTTTTAAATCAAATATAATTGCTTTTAGTTTTTGTGTGAATTATTAATAAAAAGTACTGTATTTTTAATATAAAGTTATAATTTATCATTAGAATATTATTTTATTAACAGATGATAATTATTTAGTTACTCATCTTTGTTTGCTCTTTATCTTTACATTATAATTCTTTTTAAAAATAATCATATTTTTTTATATTTATTATTAAAATTTTATAAATTAATATTATAAATAAAAAAATAAAGCTTCATTCTTTCTTTTATACATTGAAAAATATATTATCTTCATTATATTTAAAAAAGAAAGAATGAAAAAATTAAGACAATATATTATAAATATTTTAACTAGGACCATATTATTTCCATCACATATATATATATATATATATATAATTTTTTTTTTTTTTTTTTTTTTTTTTTATGTACATATTTTCTTGATATTTTTTAAATTTATTCTAAAATATTTTATAATTTTAAAGAGATTCTTTTATATAAAAAAAACATGTATATTAATAAAAAAAAAAAAAAAAAATTTAATTCTTTTTACTTTGATTTTTTCTTTTTATATAATAATATAGTAGTAAATATTTACTTCTATATATTTTTAAAATCTTAATGTTATTTATTTTTTTTTATTATTCTTTTTTTATAATTAAGTTATATATCCTCTAAGTCCTATAAAATTATTATGTGTGATGGAAATAAGCTACATTTTTTTTATTTTTAATAGTTATATATTTATTTGAAAAAAAATAAAAATAAAATAATATTTATAGTAATAAATACAATGTATACATATATTTACATATAATATTTTTAATAGATAAACTTTTTTTTTTCCTTTACTTTTCTTTAATTCAAAGTGTGTAAACGTAACATAATATAATGAAAATACAAATAAAAGGTATTTTAATTATTAAAAAAAAAACAGTATATGTAAATATATAAGAAAAAAGATTTAGAAGAGAAAAAATGAAAAAATTAATTAACAATTATGAATACGACGTAAGCTTACTATTATATATGGCAAATATAATAAAAATAGAAAAAATATAAATCAACCTTATTTTTTAAAAAAAAAAAAAAGATTATATAAATAAAAAATTAGACAATAAAATTTTTGATTTTTTAAAAAATTTTATTTATAGACAAAGATATATTCAACCTCGTAAATTGAAAATAAAGAAATATACTTTTTATTTATTTATTTTTTTTTTTTTTAAATATGGAAAAAAACTTGAATAAAGACTAATAATAACAACATATTTTTTTTTTTACATTTTACATTCTAATTTAAAGCAATTTAACTTTTTTTTTTTTTTTTTTTCTTTTAAATAATGGAATGGGTAGAGAAACAACACAGTTTTATAAAAAAAAAAAGAAGAAAAAAGAAATAAAAAAAAAAAAAAATTATATATTATATGGATAATAAAGTAGTTATATATAATAAAATTAATGGCTATTATAAATTACAAGTTTATTGTAAATTTAAAAAAAAAAAAAAAAAAAAAACATTATTTAACAAAAATTAAAAGTTTCTAAATAAATTTTTAACATGGATAAAAAATTAGACAAAAAAAGTAACTCTTTTTTTTTATAAAATGAAATGAAAAGAATAAATGAGAAATGAATACATATATGTATAATGTGCATTTTTATAGAAATGTAGAATATCACAAATATATATTTACAACTATTTATAACAGTTATATCATTTTTTTTTTTTCATTTATCAATTATTTATTTTTCATAAATCTTTTTTTAGATCCCTTCATAGATGAAAATGTATTTAAAAAAAAATATAAATTTGATAAAGAATTAAGTAAATCGTTCGAAAAAAAAGAAAGGAAATATGATGAATTTTATAAATTTTCATTATTACGCGAAAAATCTTTTATGTCTAAAAAATCCACATTTGAAAAATCAAAAGATTACTTATGGAAAAAGATGAAGAATAGTGCTAAAAAAAAATCGCAAAAAGAATATAACAATTGTTTACAAAATAAAAATTTAAAATTGATATGTATTATAAGAAAATATATAAAATTTTTTTTTTATTTAAAAAGGAAAAGCTATAAAAGGAACTATGATAATTATTCAGTTAATAATATAAATAATGTTTCTAATATTAATGATTATAAAAAGAAAGAGAAAAAAAAGTTTTCTGAAAATAGTTACAATACAAAATATACAGAACAATCGTCATTATATCAAAAACTTTATTATATTTTTTCAAAAAAAACAAATTTTTTTGTTAATATCTTTAAAAATGCAAAAATAAAAAGAGGAGAATTAATTGAAATAGAAAAGTGCTTAATATTTAAAAATAAAAATTCTGAAGGAATATTTTTAAATAAGTTTTATTCTTCATTTCCCTTCAAAATTGGTGTTTATTCTTTATTTATGATTTTAATATCATTAATAAATTTTTTGATTTTATATTATATGATAATTAAATTTATATATGAATATACTGCATATTTTTTATGTTTATTTAAATTACTTTCTGATGTTTTATATTTTTTATTTTTTGTCTTTTATATCTTATTTTTTAATTATAAATGCATAGATAATATAATTTATTATTCTTATATATCTTGTTATTTTTATGTGTCTTTTACACTTTTACATGCCATATTATTATTGCAATCATTGTCGAATATTGAATTAAATAAATTTTTTATAAATAAATATTTTTCTCAAAAATATATCATATCAATGACTAATATATATATATGTTTATTTTGTTTTCTAAGGAATTATATGATTCTTTATAATTTTTTATTGAATTTAAAATTTTCTTTTTTTTGTATTATTTGCATATTTTTTTTCCATCTTTCATGTCGTCATTTAGAACATCAAAATAAAAATATTTTTATAATATATCTTTTCATCCTTTGTAAAATTCTTTTATCTTTATATTATGAATATAATTATGAACGAAAATGGAGGATATTATTTTTAAATAGATGCATTTATGAAAAAAGTTCTAATAATAATTTAACTAAGTATTTTTCAATCGATAATTCCACTCCAACTTCACCAATAGAAGACATTTTGCACAATCTGAAAAAATTATTAGATATCATAAAAAAAATAGAAGAAGAATCAAATGAAAAGGCATTGGAACAAATAAAAAAAATGAAAGAAAAAATAAAAAAATGTGAAAATATATTAAGAACAAAAAATTTGAATGAAGTTCAAATATTTAAATATGGAAAATTTGAAAAAGTTTATAATATGTGGTGTTTAGATAAAATAGACAATCATTTTAATGTAAAATTAGAAAGTAATTCACTTTTATCTCATAATCTTAATAATCATAAAAAATCAAGTATATCTTTATCAAATATACAATCATTATTATCAACTAAATTTCAAGAACATTATAATGATGCATACGAATGGAATGCAAATATAGAAAATATATATAAAGGAAATATTTTTATATCAATTGGGTATAAATTATTATACCCACTTGGTGTATTAAAACCAAATTTTAATAAAGAAAAGCTGAAAAATTTTCTTTTGAAAATCTATTCGTTATATAATGAAGTACCTTATCATAACAGCTTACACGCTGCTCAAGTTATATATTTATATTTACTTTTTTTTTTTTTTTTTTATTTTTTACAACTTTAACATTTATATTAATTTTTTTTTTTTTTTTTTTTTTTTTTTTTTAAGGTGGCACATTTTAGTAAAAGTATGCTTTTTTTACTAGATATTAATCATAAGATATCATTTTTTTTTTTATTTTTTACAACTTTAAATTTTTTTTTATTTTTTTTTTTTTTTTTTTTTTTTTTTTTTAAGGTGGCACATTTTAGTAAAAGTATGCTTTTTTTACTAGATATTAATCATAAGATATCAGCAATTGATGAATTTTGTCTACATGTATCATCGCTATGTCATGATGTAGGTCATCCTGGTTTAAATAATTATTTTTTAATAAATTCAGAAGATAATTTAGCATTAACTTATAATGACAATAGTGTACTTGAAAATTATCATTGTTCGCTTGTTTTTAAAACTTTAAAGGAGGAAAATTGTAACATTTTTGAAAATTATCCTTATAATATTTTTATTACTTGTAGGAAAAATATTATTAGGGCAATTTTATCAACAGATATGAAAAATCACTTTGAATATATATCTAATTTTAGAACATCAAAAGAATTTATAGATTGTGATAATTTAACTACAGAACAAATATGGCAAATATTTTGCCTTGTTATAAAAGCTTCAGATATTGGACATGCATCCCTTGAATGGAATAAACATGTTAAATGGACAATGAAGATTAATGAAGAATTTTATCTACAAGGATTATTAGAAAAATCATTAAATATGCAGAAAAGTTTTTTATGCGATATTACTACTATTGACAAATTAGCTACTTCTCAAATTGATTTTTTAAAACATTTATGTATCCCTTTATTTAATGAGTTAAATTATTTATGTAAAAATAATAGCATTTATAATCATTGTATATATGCAATTGAAAATAATATAGAGAAATGGGAAAAGAAAAAAAATGACGAACAAGATATTGGATTACAAGAAAAGTATAAAAATGATAATTTAAATAATAGAACTAAACTATTAAGTTTTATGTAAAAACAAGAGAAAATTTTATTTTTTTAAAATTTTATTTCTTTATTTATTATAAACCCTATTTATATTTTTTATAACAGTCTTTAATTTTTCTAAAATTTTATTAATATAATTTTGTTTGTAAAAAATACATTTTTTTTTTTTTTTTTTTTTTTTACATGCTACATATGTTTTAGGTTTTTACAAAATATTAATATCTTCTTAACAACATATGCATCTATATATACATATGTAATTTTAATTTTATTTTAGATTTTCATTTTATTAAAATATATTTTTCTACTATTTTTTATTTAACATTTGTTACTTTAAATAATAAGATTTAAGAAAAAAGTAGTTTAAAATTTTGATTCCATTTACATGTTTAACCTTTAATTTTTTTTTTTTTTTTTTATGCATTACATATATAAAATAAAAAAAATAAAAAAGATATCATTATAATTATCATTTATGAACTTATATATATATATATATGATTTACAATTAAACTATATATATTTCTATAAAAAAAAAATATATATATTTTTTTTAATGATTATGTTGATATTTTATGTATAATTTAGTTTGTCAATTAATGTTGACTTGATAGCTATAAAATTTTAAGAATATTAATCTGCACCAATATATTATATGTATGTTAAATTAACAGTTGAATTTTCTTTTGGGGATATATTTTTTAATTAAGAATTTTTGTAAATATGAAAATTTGTTATATATTTGTCATATATTCCTCATAAAACTTAAAAAAAAAAAAAAAAAAAAGAAAAAGAGAATGTATATTTTAGTTTTTACCATATTAAATATATATTTAAGCATTTATGTATGGGGAAATGTTTACATAAAAAGAGACAATATAATTAATATTAATTATTTAATGCATATAAGGAATAAAAAATTAAATATAAATAACTTATTTAGAAAAAATAATCATAAAAAAAATATTTGCTATATCCCTCATAAAGAAATAATTATAGGTACTCGTGATTCACCATTAGCATTAAAGCAATCAGAAAAAGTAAAAAAAAAACTTTTAAATCATTTTAAAAAGATTAATAAAAAAGTGAAAATAATATTAAAACCAATAAAAACAACAGGTGATAAAATATTAGATAAAAGTGTAAGTTTATTTGGAGGTAAGGGAATTTTTACAAAAGAATTAGACGAACAATTAATAAAAAACAATGTTGATATATGTGTTCACTCATTAAAAGATGTTCCTATGATATTACCTGAAGATATTTATTTGCCATGTTTTTTAAAAAGAGATACTATTAATGATGTTTTTTTATCAATTAAATATAAAAATTTGAATCAAATGAATAAATGTAAATTTAATAACTTAGAAAAAGTAGAGAGTAATATTAAAAACAATTTTTACTTAAAAAAAGATGAAGATAAAGATTCATTATGTACAGTTGCAACATCGTCATTAAGAAGAAGAAGTCAAATAAAATATATGTATAAAAATATAGAATTGAAAAGTATTAGAGGAAATATTAATACAAGATTAGTGAAGTTATTTAATGGATATTGTGATTCTATAATAATTGCTTTGTGTGGCTTAGAAAGGCTAATAAAAAGAAAGGTGATCGTCGATATAGTGAAAAATAAAAAGCGCAATATTCATAAACCATATATAATTAGATATAATAACACAAGTATTGATTTAAGTTTTTTAAATATACAGAAGATAAATAGGAAATTTATTTATCCAGCTTTATGCCAAGGTATTATAGCAATCACCTCAAATAAAAATAATTCGGAAATTAATGATATATTAAAAGATATAAATGATGAAAAATCAGAAATTATGGGAAAAACAGAAAGAGCATTTTTATCTCAAATTGAAGGGAATTGTATGATGCCTATAGGTGGATATACGAAGATTGTAAATAATAAAATTTTCTTTAATGCCATAATAAATGATATTCATGGGTATGAAAAATTTCAGATTAGAGAAAAAGGCGAGATAAATAATTATTTAGATATTGCAACAAATGCAGCTACAAACATTAAAAAAATAATAGGTGTTGAAAAGTTTCATAAAATAAAAGAAGAAGCGGCATTATACTATAAATAACGAAAGAAAAAATAAAAAAAGTTTAAATAAATAAATAGTTCAATAAAATTTTATAGTCTAAATATTATAATTTTCCAATTTGTTAAATGATACTCCACTCATATTTCTGTAAAATTAATAAATAAAAATTCTAAAAAAAAATTTTAATTGAATCTTAAAATTTTAATTTTATACATATTGCATTTTTTTAAATTGTTGAAATTTTATTTTAAAATATCTTTTTTTAAGTAAATATATGTTTTTCTTCTCTATAATGCTTTTTTGATATGCAATTTTTTTACCGTTTTATTTTGCATTTGATACATCATAAAGATGTTAAAATATTTAATTTTACACTTTTTATCTTTACACCAATCACAATTTGTTTGAATACGTATAAGTTATTACTTAAAGGTTTTTTTTTATTAATTTTATCTTTGGTAATTTATTATATTTTTAACTATAATATATATTATTTAATCATATAATTTTTATGAAATATATATAACATCTTCTGTTAAATGAAGAAAAAAAAAAAAATGTATACTAAATTACAATCGGCTTATTAATTTGTGATACAAAAAAAAAAAAAAAAAAAAAAAAAAGAATAAAATATTATGAAAACATGAAAATGTATACTATAATTTATTATTTTGTTTTTATAAAAAATATATTTATATATAAATATATGTTATAAGCAAAATTTTGTATTTGTCAGTTTAAGTATTTATGTGTAAAAAAAAAAAAAAAAAAAGAATATCAATAGGATTTTTTTTTTTTTGATGAAAAAAATTCATTATCTCTGAAAAAATTCTTTTTTTTTTTTCTTCTTTTTTTATATTTATCTTATTTCTTTATGCTTTATTTATAAAAATTAAACATTTTTTTTTTATTTAAAATTTAACATAAATTTTTTTAATGTTTGTTTTATTTTTATAAATATATCTTTATTTTTCTTTATTAAAAAAATATGAAATAGCATAATTTTTTTTTATTAAAATTTAAGTTATTTTAGAAAAATAAAAATTTTTTTTTATAATAATTTGTCTACGTAGATAAAAATAAAATGGAAAATAAAAAGGTGAAATATGAATTAAAAATCATAAACATATTTTTAAAATATAATAGAAATTAATACATACACAATTATTTCAAAAAAAAAAAAAAAAAAAATAACTTTTTCTTATAATTTTCTTCGTATTTATTATAAATAGATAAATATGAATGAACATCAATGGAGAATGTTTGAATATAATATGAGTAGATGGATGATTGAAAATAAATATATCTTAGATCAAGAAGAAAAAAAAAAATTTTATAAATGTGCAAATTATAGTTTAGGGACAGGTATAGCTAATGCATCATTAATTTATTTTTTATGCAAAAAATATAAAAATTATTTTACACCAGTATCAAGATTTTTTTTAACTTTTTCATTTGGTGTTTATACTTCAATGGTTGTAAATAAAATATATAGAAGAAAAGCATATACAGAAGTAATTCAAATTTTTATATTATATATATCTATTTATATCTATTTATATATATATATATATATATATATATATATATATATATATATATATATATATATTTTTTTTTTTATAATTTGTTATGAAATAAGAACATTTTATATATAACACATAATTTTGCTATTAATATATTATTTTGTCCTATATATATTTACATTTTTTTAAAAAAAAAAAATTTTGCTTTATGAAAGATATTAACTTCAAAAACATCTATGACTGATAAAGCAAGAGAAGTTATGAATGACATATTAAATACGAATGATAAAAACGTTAAATTGTCATATAAAGGAATTAATCAAAATGAAGAAAATAAAACTATAGAAAATACAAACTCATATAATTTAATGGATGAAAATGATTCACAAATAAATAACGATTTTAAATTAGATGATAATGTAAATTTTTTTAAAATTGTACATAAATATATATATATATTATAAATTCTTTCATTACATAAATTATGTTTTTTTTTTTTTTTCTTAGAATAATACACTTTTAACTGAAGATATGTAAGTTATTAAGAATATATATATATATATATATTTATATATATATATATATGTTATGATAATTATTGCTATATAAATGCTTCATTTACTACAATTATGCAGAAACGATAATATTAGAAATGAACAAATTAATGAAATAGAGAGGTATTGACATATAATATATATATTTTTATGATTTTATGCTTTTTTTAACTATGTATATATATGCTATTAAAATAATTATTTATAGATGTAAAGCTATAGAAATTTGCACAGATGAAAATTTAAAAAATATTATAAAAAAATTAGAAAAATATTCCTAAATATGTTCATGAATATTTAAAAAATATAAATATTCTTGTTATGATTAATAATTAACATATAAACTACATAATAAATAAAATATAAATAGAAAATATGTATAAAAAATAAAAAAAAAAAAAAAGTGAAAACAGAATGATTATAATTTAAACATAAGTTGTATAAATTAAAGTGATTCATACAAAAACTATAAAAAAAAAAAAGAAAAAAAATTGCAAAATTACAATATTCAAAATAAAGAACACAAGAATAAATACAATGTATTTTCCTTTTTCTTAGGCAAAATTCCTACTTTTTAAAGGATTTTAATGAAGGTAATAAATAAAAATATACAAAAATATACAAAAATATACAAAAATACACATTATACAAAATAATATATATTTTTACATGTTTTTTTTTTTTTTTTTAAGGTAAATCAGTTAGCTGGGATGAAATACGAAGAAGAAATGAATAAAATAAAAAAAGGAAAACTTTAAAAAATTTAAAATAAATGTTTGAATTTATCAAAAAAACAATTGTAACTAAAATTTCTACTATCATTATTAAATTTATATACATATTGAAAATAATTAAAGTCAGAATAAAAGGATAAAATATAATTATAAAATTTATAAGCTTCATCTTTGGTTATAATTTTATTTATAATACTTAATTTTGTTAAAACAATATCTTTATTTTTTAATTCATCAAAAAAATTTAATGTTATATATGGTATCGAATTTGTCCTAAATTTATTATAATCATGAAGTGGGGTCACAAATACTAATTTACAATCAATAAATTGTGAATAAAAATTTATATATCCATTTTTATTTTTATGTGGAATAATAAAATGTGAATTATTTTTACAATTTTTTTTTATTAATTCATATTTTTCTATATTTACATAATCTGCAATTATATTTTTGTCATCTTTGTACTTATCTTTCCATATACTGATTATTTTATCTTTATGTTCCTTTTCTAACAACTGCAATTTAACTACATTTTTCAATTCTCTTGAACAAGGTAGTGAAAAATAAAACCTTTTACAATTTTTCATTATTGTTTCTTCTATTTTTTTTTTTTTTTTTTTTTTTAATACAAAAAATTGTATTTTTCATTATACTCCAATTTTTTTATGTAAATTGCATTTTTCATTCAATTTTTTCTTTTTTTATTTAAAAAAAAGCTAAAAACTAAAAAAAATTAAAACCAAATATATAATTGTAATAATAACAGCAAAATTTTTTTCAAAGAAGAATTTTTAATCCATATTTTTCAACAGTGTTTTTATGTATTTGTTTAACATTTAATTTATATAGTTCAAGGAATTTTAAAAATTTTAAATATAAAAATTATGAATATAAGATTATTACAAATAATTAAAAAAGGAAAAAAATGTATTGAGAAAAAAGTGTAAAACAAACATGAAAAAAGTAATTATAAAAATTGTAAAGAAAATATCTTTATAAAATGAAGGAAAAGAAAAAAAAAAATATACATATATAAATACATATGTATTATATAAATGAAGAAATTAAATTAAAATAGAATTAAATATAAAAAAATCAATATAAAAAAAATTAAAATAAAATAAATTGAGTAAGTTTGAAATAATATAGAAAAAAAGGATCTCTTGAAAAATATATTTAAATGAAAAAAAAATTTGAAAAAAATTAAGATAAAATTGTAACTTTGTTATTTTAAGAAAAAAAAAAAAAAAAAAAAGTAGATTATATATAAATATATAAAATGCTACTTCGTTTCATTATAAAAGAAAAAATCAATTAAATCAAAAGTATTTTTAAAAAAACAAAACAAAACAAAATAAAACGAGACAAAACAGGTATGAATGTTTATACAATTATGAATTTTATATAGAAAAAAACAAAATTAAAAATCTAAGATAGAAAATCTTAAATAAAAAAAAAAAAAAAAAAAAAATATAAAATAATATATTATTTAAGTAATTATAAAAATTTTATGCAATTATAAGAGAAATATTTATGTATAATTAAAAGTGAAAATTAAATTGTCAAAAAATTGTATATTTATAAAGAAAAATTCCATTTGCAGAAATAAACATTTATATGAAAAAAAAAAAAAAAAAAATTCAAGAAAAAAAATCATTATTTATTTTTAAGTATTCTTAAAAAATATTCAAAAAAATGATTATATGATAAAGTATAAGCACACAAATTATTATTATATATTTTGATTTAGTATCTGTTTTAAAATATCACATGGATTCTGAAGTACTTTATTCCTTAAATCGAATTGAATCATAATTCCATCATTTAATACACCAATATAATCAACAAATTTTAACAAGGCTAATCTGTGTGTAAATATAATAGTAGTTTTTCCTTTCATATATTTATATAATGCTTCATTTATAATATTTTCTGATAACTTATCTAAAGAAGATGTTGGTTCATCTAAAATTAATATTTTATTATTTTTGAGTAAGTTTTGAGCTATGTATACTCTCTGCTTCTGTCCACCTGATAAAAATGATCCGCTTACTCCAACATTAATGTTATCATAATTAGAATAATTATTTAAAAAATCATGAATATGTAAATCTTTATATATGTTTCTTAATTTATCTGTTGTAATATTATTTATATTTTCTTGTGTTTTCTGTATTTCTTTTAATAAATATGCATATATTTCTTTCACATCGTTAGTTATACCGTGTAAATTATTATTTTGTTCATTCAAATTTTCATTTATGAATATATCTTTTTTTTTAATTAATTCAACTTGTTCTTTTAGCATTTCATGATGTGCTTTATGTGGATATAGTAAGTTCGATTTTACAGATATATTAAATAAGAAAGGATCCTGAGTAATCACACTTAATATAGATCGAAGTGCAGACGAATTTATTTTATTAATGTTAAAATCACCGAAATATATATTGCCTTCATTTACAATATTTTTTTTTGAAAGTAAATTTAAAATGGTAGTTTTTCCACTACCACTTTTTCCTACAATTGCAACTGATTTATTATGTGGCAAATAAAAAGAGACATTTTTTAAAGCATAATTTTTTTTTTCTTCAATCTCATTATTATTATTATTATCATATGAAAAGGATACATTTTCAAATTTTATAGAATAATTATTCCTTTTCAAAAAATTAATTGAATTTTTAAGCCAATAATCATTGAATTCACTATCTGGTAAATTTATGATTTGTAATACTTTTGAGCATGAACCAATGCATTTTTGTAAATCACCGATAGCATGCATAATACCTTGAATCCCACTACCACAGAATAAAGAATACATAATCAATGAAAATAAATCTCCCGTATTTATCAAATTACTAACTATTAAATAATTCCCATAATAAATTAAATGCAACAAAAAGAGAGAAATTATACTAAAGAATAAAAAATGATTTCCTGCTTTTACTAAAGAATATTTTTTTCCAATTTTATACACCTCATTTAAATATTTTGTAAATTCTTTTTTTTCAAAAGATTCTCCATTTAATAATCTCACATAACCTATATTATATATTTTTTCTGAGGCAAAATCTATGCAATTACTTAATTTTTCTTGTTTTTTTATACTAATTCTCTTAACATATTTACCATATGAAGTCCCTATTAATAAGCAAGCAGAAACAGGTAATAAAAAAGAATTAAATAACTTACTTGGAGAAATGTGTAATGCACATATACCACCAATTAAAGCTGCTATAAAATTCCTTATACCAAATGATAAATGAATTAAAATTTTTGATGATATTTCAATGTCATTTGATAATCTATTTATTAATTCTCCTGTTTTCTGTTTATCAAAAAAAGAAAGATTTTGATTTATAATTTTTTCAAATAAATTTTTTCTTAATCTTCTAGTTATTTTTTCAATAGATGTTTCAATCAAGTATATTCGGAAAAAACTAAATGTCGAAATACCTAAGATTAAAAGTATTGTTTTATAAACTTCATTCATTAAATATTTTAATGATTCTTCTTTTCCACCATATAAATTTATTATTTTACTTATACACATTGGGAATACCATTTGACCTAAAGAGGATATTAATAAACATGCGAATGCAAGTGCTAAATATTTTCTTTCCTTTTTTAATATTTTAAATACATCTTTTAAGGAAATTCCATCTAAGTTACTACCCATTTTTTTTTCATATTTTTCTTTAAAAATATTCTTTATTTTAATCAATTTATTTTTATTTGTACCATCAAACAATCTTATTTTCCATCTATAAATTGATTTAGTAAACCCATTTTGTGTGTTTTCTATTTTTGATAAATTCTCTTTTTTAAAAAAGTTTGTATTATTATTATTATTAGTATTATACCTTACATTTTTATTTATAAATAAAAAATCCTTTTTTTTTTTCAAACTAATGTAATTTATATTTTTAGTAATATATATGATATTTCTATTTTTATGATAACTAATATTTTTTATATTATTAGAGAGTATATTATGCGGGATAATCTTAAAATAATGATTTACTATATACTGATTAATTATCATTTTCTAAATAAAATATGAAAAAAAAAAAAAAGAAAAAAAAAAAATAAAACTAAAAATTTTCAAAATCATATTTTTTTTTTTTTTTTTTTTTTTAATTAATAACTGTCCATATTTTTTCTAAACATAATTTAACATATGAACCCTTTTACATATTATAATTATTAATTTCTTCTGTTTTATTATTTTATTTTACTTTTTTTTTACATTTTATTTATAAAATTTTTATTTATTCATGTTATGAATAAAAATAGTTACCTTTTATAATATGTAATTCCACTATGTAGTTAATATATTTTCATTATATATATATAAATTTTATAAATAAAATACTATATTTCGTTAAAATATTATTTATATTTATTATTTACTTTTTATTAATTTTATTAATATTTTTTCTATTTTTTAATTGTGAAAAACTAGAAAAAATAAAAATCTTTAGTTTATAATATATATTCCCATAATTTTAATATAATATTCTCCTTTTCTATAATAAATAGTTGTATTTATAAAAAATATTAATTTGATTTATTAACAGTATTCCTTTAGTAACTTTTAAAGATATATATGTTTTTAAAAAATATCACCTTTTTTTTGCTTCTACTGTTAAGGTATCTTAATATTTGTAAGTCGATTTTATGATAAAAATTAAAAAAAAAAAATAAATAAAAACATAATATTATTATTATATAAAGGTAATAAATTTTTATAAATTCTAAAAAAAAAAAAAAAAATTAAACTCACAATAAAATGAATAAATTTTTTCAAATTTTTTAATATATAAATGAATTTTTTGCAACAGTATTCTTCTTTCAATATATTTGTAAAAGAAGAAAATAAGTAAAATAGAAAGATTAATATTTCACTATATATAACAATTTTTCATTACTAAATTATTTATAGTGCTACATTTTTAATTTTAAAAAATAACTTGTATTATTTAAATAAAAAAAAAAAAAATAAAATAAAATAATAAATATTTAGTTCACATAAATTTCAATAATATAGGTAAAATATAAAACATATATTGTGAAAAGAACATTTCATAATACGAAAAAGAAATATAACATTTTTTTCATTTACATATAAAAAATATTATATATATATATAATTTTTTTTTTTTTTTTTTTTTGAGTTTTATAACATTTAAAAATATTTTTAAAATTATTATTATTTTTTTTTTTTTACTTTTTTTGTAATTGTTTAAAAATATACTGATAAAGAGAAAAAGCAATTTGAGTGTATCTCTTAAAAAAAAATAAGTATATTTTCATCAATGGTTATTTTTCTATTTTTTTGCATATTCTAAAATAAATTACAATATAAAAATTAAAATTAAAGACAAAAGTGTAACAAAAAGGTTTTAATGAGTTTTATTTTTTTGTAATTACTGAAATTAAAAAAAATGAAAAGGAAGTAGGAACAAAAACAAAAATGAAAAGAGCTTTTTATTTTTTCATTTAATAACTAAATAAAAAAAAAATCAAATGAAGAATATTAAAATAAAATATTACTAAAGTTTTCTTAAAGTTTTATGTATAAGAGAAAGGTAAAAAAAAAAAAAAAAAAAATCACAAATAAACATAGATCAACATATTTACAAAATATATCATGATTATATGTTGTTATTTCTGTATATAAAATGTTTAAACATTTAATAATAGAACTTACAATATAACAAAAATTATAATAATTATTATTCATATTATTTAAATAATTTTCTTTTTTTTCTTATATTTTATAGAAAAATTATAAATATTTCAAAATAGTCTTTTTAGAAATAAAAATTACACTAAAGAATGACTAAAAAAAATGGTTATAAAATAATTATAGAATTTCTTTTTATTTATACAATTGCTTTCAATTTTATATGTGAATCCTTTTTATTAAAGAGTATATATTTCAATGAAGTATTAAAAAAATATAATTTTAGTAATACTAGAAAAGCTTTAAAAAAAAAATTTTCACAAATAAAAAATGTACCATCTACCCTCATTACCACTGATGAAGCTAACACTAATGTAATTAAAAAAGCAAAATTAAAAAAAAAAGAAAAAAAAATATTAAAAAAATATAAAGATTATTTAGATATAATACCAAATAGAAGTAAAGAATATGAAATTGTTGATGCCTTAGAAAAAATTAAAATTTTAGCTGTACATAAATTTGTTGAAAGTATAGATGTATATTTGTCTTTTAGTCAGAAAAGATCAAAAATGACCAAAAATGATAATATAAAAACATTTATAACATTTCCTCATAATTTAAAAAAAAAAAGAGAAAAAAAAATTTATGTAGTTACCAACAGGAATATGCATAAAGTTGCTTGTGAATCAGGTAACCAACACTTTAAATTGAATATGAAGTTTTTTAATAAAAAAAAAAAATAAATAAAATGAAATTTTTATGAATAAAAAAGAATGTATTTTAATAAAAAATTTTAATTATATTTCAATAATACTAAATTATGTGTGTTTTTATAAACAACATTTTAACAAAAAAATATATTAAAATAAGGAATTCTTTTTATTATTTTCATATATATATATATATATAAAAGAAAAGTTTTATGATTATAAAAATGCATAAAAGAAAAAAAAAAAAAAAAAAAAATTACAAAATATATAATACATAAATTTTTTGTGAAAAAATTATATTTGTTTTATGTTTATTTTTCTTTATCATTTTTTTTTATATTATACTTAAAAATATTTATAGGTGCTGATATTGTTGGTGAAGACGATGTAATAAATAAAATAAAAGAAAAAGAAATAAGATTAAAAAAAAAAAATAATAATTTTTTATTATCCACAAATGATGTAATACATAAATTAACACGTGTCGGTAAAGAAATAGGAAGAAAAGGACTAATGCCTAATGAAAAATGTGGAACATTAGTTAGCGAATTCTTATTATCTAAACATATAAAATTATTTAAATTTCAAAATACTTACATTTTTAAGTTAAATAAGTTAAATACATTAAATTTAAATGTTGGTGATGTTTATATGTCGAATGATGAAATAAGAGAAAACATTTGTTACTTGTTTGAGTATTTAGATAATTTAGAATTCTTTCATTTTAATTTTAAAAATTTGAAAACAATTTATCTTTGTAGTACTATGGGTTTCCCATTTAAAATAAAAAAAAATTTTTTGTAAAATAAGAAACAAAAAATTTATTGCTTTTTTTTTTTTTTTTATTTTTTTATATTTTTATTAATATTACACATATATATATATATATTTTATATTATTAATTTTTTCTTCAAAACTTTATGTATTTCTTACATCTATTAATTATTTTTAAATATATGAAGATAATAATTGTAAAACTACAATATTTTTTTTGTACAAAAAAAAAAAAAAAAAAAGTATCCTTAAAATAATTAATTGTATTCATAAACATCCTTTTATATAAATATAGGTTTGGATATTATTAAGTTTTTTTCTTTTTTTTTTTTTATATATATATATATATATAATTTGTTAATAATAATAAATTTTATAAATTAAAAAAGGAGGTAAAGAAGCAAATTTTTAAAGTAATAAAAGTTAATTGCATTCTAATGTAGAAATATATTTTTGTTTTTTTAAGGTTTTTGTAATAATTTTCTTTGAAGATAGCTGAAGATATTATATTTGACAAGTATTTAGAAAAAAAAAACAAATATATCTTAGAAAAAGAGATAGTAGAACTTTATTTTAATTATAGATTTGTTCATTTTATCTTTTTATTTTTAACTTTTTTTTTTTTTTTTTTTTTTTTTTTTATATAATTAATTTTCTTTTTAATTACTATTTTAAAATTTATGAAATTAAATATGATATTAACTATATATATAGAATTCTTTAATTTTTTTTTTTTTTTTTTTTAACTCTTCATAATTTAACAAAAAAAGTAAAAAAAAAATTTAAAGAAATGAAAATTTTTATTTTTTGTACTTAATATGATATTATTTGAAAAAAGCGTTAATTTCTATATGTTATAAAATATATATATTTTTGTATATATATTTAAATCTAAAAATGATAAATGATTACATTTCAAAAATAATATATCATTGTATTTTTTATTTATTTTATTTTTACACGTAATTAAATTTGTAATTTTTCTTTTTTACTTTATTTTGTACTTATATATAATATGAAAAATGTAAATAAGAAATATAGTGGTATTTCTCAGAATTTAACAAAAATTTTAAGCAATGTAGAAATAATTTTAAATAAAAATGCGGAAAACATATTTTATGTAAAAAATGTTATTTGTTATTTTTACTTTACTTATTACATAACGCATTCTCCTATTGATGATGATTCTTTGAGAGTATTAGAAAAGTATAAGAGAAAAACATTTTTAATATATAATGAAAGATTAAAACTAATAAGTGATGTAATTTTGTACATATTAAAGAATGACATATTCTGTTATAATAAAGTAATTTTAAATAGAGAATTTATTATTTTGGAAAATTATCAAAATGAAAATTACGTAATTGAAAATTATTTAAATAGCGTAAGGAAAGGAAAAAAGGAAATATTTTTGGATTTTTTAAAAATTAAAATAAAAAATGAGGAATTACTTCCTTTTATGGTTTTACTTTGTTGTAGTGATTATAAGTATTTAGAAAATATGTGCATTTTTATGATTATAACATTATATGTAATTTATACTTTTTTAGAAAAATATAATGTAAAAACTAAATTATTAAAGGAAGAAATGAATATTTTTCAAGTAGATAAATTATATTTATATATATCTGATAGATATAAAATGGATGGCTATTTTATGTGCACAAATAAAGTAATTAATATTGTTTTAAGCTTTTATATAAACTTACTAAATATTGGAAAAAATGAAATATTAAATATAATTAATGGGAAAGTAGTATTTGAAAATATAAATAAAAATAAAGTCAAGTATAAAAATTCTATAATTTTAAGTAGACTTATAGAATCAAGTATTGATAAAAATATAATGTATGAAAAATTACAGTTTTTATTTATAACTATTTGTAATGGATTATTATTGATTTTAGAAAATTTAGTATGTGTTAATTATTTAACTTTTGTTATTTTGGATATTTTTATACTTATTTCTAAATATTATCCCTCCTTTATAAAAAAAAACATAGAAAAGTTTATCAGTATATTTTGTAAATTTGTTTTAAATTCACAACTATTCTTTTTTTTTATTAACAAATTACAAGGAATTTTTAAAAACGAAAAATTATTAACTTTTGAAGTTTATTCTAAAACAATTAATTATATTTTAGAAAAATTAGACAAAAATTATGATAATGTTCAAGAATTATTTCTTTTATTATTTTTTTATATTATTTATATAAAGCTTTTTTTGGTTAAACTTTTAAAGAATAATACACATATTATAAATTTTTTACTTTTATCACTGAATTATTTAAATAATTATTTATGCCACCTAATAAAAATGTGGAATTTTAATTTCCCAATTTTTTTTTCTTTTAAAAAATTAATTAATGAGTATATTGAAATATATGTATTATTAATAAATAATTTTTTAAATATTGATTCTTCTATATTTTCTGAAAAAAAAATAATAGAAGGAAATAGCTCATTAGAATATTTCATTAATGAAAATATAAAACAATCTCTAATTTATAATAAAAATATAATAAATCATAAAATGAGTATCAATATGTTGAATTTATTAGAACAGATAATTAATAAAAATGTGTATTTAGAAAAGATAAATAATTATAATATAGAGAAGAAGGAAAAGGAAAAGGAAAAGATGGAGGATATATGTAACAATATTCTGAAAATCGAAAAAACAAATCATGAAAAAGAGTGTATAAATGAATATACGAAACGAAATGTAGATTATAAAGATTCATATAACCTTAAAGATGAAGATAAGATTGATTATTTCAAAAATGATTATAGTGATATTTTAAAAATTTGTAAAATCATACTAAAAGATTTTTCGGAAATTATAATAGCATGTGTTTATAAAATGAAGGATAAAAAAAAATTAATTGAAATTGTTATAAGTAATTTTAAGAAAATAAATAATGTAAATAAACATTTCTTAAAATTTTATTTTATTAATATTATATTACCTTTTAAAAAATTTTTTAATGATGATTATATAAAAAATAGACTATTTTACATTTATAGTTTTATTTTAAGAAAATTAAAAATTGAGGAAATAAAAGCATACATTTTCAGTGAAATTATATTCTTAAATTACTCTATTTTTAATATATTAAATACGATAAAGTATTCTCCATTTCTTTTCTATTATTTAGAATATAATAAAAATAAGATTGACGTCACCTTTTTTAATGATTCCATATTTAAGGGAGATTATAATGCTTATTTTCGTAAATTTTATAGGAACAATTTAGACTATTTTTTTTTAATCGTAAATTCTTGTAAAAAGGAATACTATTTATTACCAATAATAATATATAACATTTATATTTTTTATGAGATTACTATAAACATTTCTGAATATTTTCAATATGATAAGGCTTATTTAAATAATTTTTTATATTATTATAATTGCAATAATTTAATAAAACTTTTTTTATTGTTTTTAAAGATATTGAGAATAATATACAATGAAAAAAACAGCTTTTTAAAATTGGAAGATAATTTAAGAAATGATCAAATAATTTTTTATTTCTTAAAAAAATTTTTTAATTTAAAAGACTTCAATAGTTTTTTTATAAACTTTTTTGTTGACTTATATTTATTTTATAAATCTTATAAAAGCCTTTTTTTTGTACATATTTTTTTTCAAAATTTTGATAGAAGCTTATACTTTTCATTCTTAAAACAATTTTTTAAATTTCCTTTTTTCTTATTTCAAGAAGAGAAATATTTAAAAGAAAAAAATAACAATGATATATATGATATTCATTGTAATTTTATATCAACAATTCAAAAAAATTCAAGTTACGTTGTGAAATGCAAAGATTTCAATAATTTTGTAGAGTATCAGGAACAAAATGTAAATAAGAAAATATCTCAATATATAGAGAATAATGAGAATAGAAAAAAAAAAAAAAAATCAATGTATGGAAAAATGAATAATAGTGATATTGAAAATTATAAAAACATTGATAAAAGTAATGAGACTAATGAAAATTCATGCATCATTAGCTTTGATAATTGTAAAATTTATCCAGAAGAAAAAAACAAAAAATATATAAATGTGAATAAACAAAATGTGAGAAACTATTTTTTAATAAATATAATTAATAATATTTTTGATGAATTAAGTAGTTTCATTTTACAAGATAATTTTTACGAAATAATTAAAGATAATAATGAAAAAATATATATAGAAAAAAATTATAAAAAAAATAAAATTCATATCTTTATTTTAACATTATTGAAAACAGATATATTAAATAGAAATTTTAAAAGAATAAAAAAATATAATTTAAATGTTAATGATTTTTTTTTTTATTTTATATTAGAAAAGAATTCTTATATTTTTAATTGTCTACTTTCCAAATCATCTATTCATGCGTATAAAGTATCAAAATTTTATAAAGATTGCCTTTCATATTTTAAAATTAACATAGAAGATATTTTAAAAAAAAGGTATTCAGGAGAACATTTATTCATGGAAAACAGAAATGTAAGGAAAAAGGATTTATTTAATGAACTAAAACTTTTCATAAAAGAATTTAACAATTTAAATTTATTTAAAAATTATAAAAAGTTAAAAAAATCATATAATATATATAGAAATGAAAAATATCATGAAGAAAGAAATGACATTTCTCACGATGAAACGAAGCTAAAATGGGTAATTGAATATATTATTAAACAAAAAGAAACAAAAAAAGAATCAAATTTAATAAATAAAAATCATATAGTTAATTATGATGTTTATAATATTAATTTATTATTTGTTGGTTACTGTTTAATTTTAAATTGTTTAAAATATAAATCAAAAAATAAAAAAGAGTCATTTCTTATGTTAGCAAATATGTTTGATATGTTTTTGAGTAAATTAAAAAATCCTAATAATTTAAAAGAAAATGCTTGTTTATTAAAAAATGCTCAACATTTGATTGATTTGATATATATAATGGATGCATATCAGTTAAAAATTACTAATAAATTAATAACAATTATTAATGATAGAAACAATTTTTACAGTAATTCAAATATTAGTGTGTTTTTACATAATAAATTAGAAACATATAAAAAAAATTATTTAGATAAATATTTTTCTACTAATCTTTATACCTTTTATTTAAATCACGTAAATATTTACAACTGCTGGAAAAAATTAACAATTTTTAAAAATATAATATCTAATGATAATTTTTTATATTTTAATACATCTTATATTTTTTCAATATTTGATCAAATACTAAATGATTTAATAGAAAACTTAACAAATCAAATATCCCAAAGAGAAGTAAACTTAAATACAGTTGTTAATTATGAAAATACAAAAGAATGCAATGATGATTTATATAAAATTATAGATAATTTTATACACATTATATATATCAACAATATTTTAACTTTTATATCTGTTTATTCAAAAGAATCCTTTTACATTTATTCTCTATTTGATTTTTACATTAAAATGAAGTCTTTTTTGAAAGAAATATTTAAAGAAAATTATAAAAGTTATGATCATAATAATAGGGGGAATATTTTAATGCATAATTTTAATAAGGAAAGTAAAAGTGATAAAAATAAAAAGTATAGCAATAATAGTACTGAAGATAGTAACATTAAACTCCAAAGTAAAAGAGATGATAAAATAAATATTAAAAATAATAATATAGATAACAACAGTTATTTTAATAAAAATGATAGTAATATAAATGAACACATTTGCTACACTTTAATTTCACATTTCCCTTTTTGCTTAATAAATATAAATGAAATTATAAATTTATATATTGATTTTATAAATAACAACTTTTTTAATATTGTTAATTATCTTGAAAATAATAAAAAAGTATTAACTTTAATTTCTAGTTGCCAGTTTTTTAAAAATAATGAGAGTAATAATAATAATAATAATAATGATGAAATATCAAAATATTATGGAAATTTAATATTGTGTAATACGTATTTTTTTAAGAGTATAATTTATATATATATGCAGAGTTGCATATATTTAAATAACCCACAACATATTTATAATTTTTTAAAAAATATTACTAGTATAAATAAAAATATATTAAGTATGAATATAATAAAATATTTATTAGGCATATTTTTTTTAAAAAATAAAGATTTTTATTTTTGTAGGATGTTTATAGAAAATGCTTTGTATGATTTAGAAGAAAAAAATAATGAAAGAAATTTTATTTATGATTTAAATTCATATGATGATTTAATAAATTTATATTTTATGAATGTTTCATTTTGTGATAATAAGAGGAAATTAAGAAATTTATGTGATAATTTGAATAAAACTATATTCTTACACACAAATCATGTAGATAATAAAAATGACTTTTTAAATCTTATTATAAATTATTATGACTATAATTTATCTATGATGCATAATTCAAAGTATGATATAAATGATTCTTCCTTTTATAATTTTGAAGACGTTAAAAAAAAAGAACAAGTTTTACAGAGTTATGAGAATTTTCATAAGAATAATAATATTGACAGTGATGATATTAATCATAGTTTTAATAAAAATATATCAAATGTAAAATTAAAAAATAATTCTATCTATAATGATATATTAGAAAAAAATGCTTTATTTGTTATCAAAAACATTAATAAAAACAAACTAGTTCATGAATATGATGAAAAATCAGAAAAGGCGAAATTTCTGTTTTATAACTTTAATAAATACTTAAAGAAAAACTCCTTTTATTGTTATGAGTTTTATATAAGAAAAAAATTATTCACTGGTTATATGAATAACGAAAATAAAATAAATGTATTAAGAAAAAAAAATAAATTTTGTTATACTAATAATATAAATCTATATAACACAGATTATTTGAAAGAAGATTTTATGAACAACAGTATATACAAATATTTTTCTTATAGAAACAGAAAAGATATTTTGATATTTTTTTTGATAAATAATATATTCAATTTTTATAAAAAAAAAAATAATTTTTTTTCTATATATTTATTAATAAAAAATAATTACAAATATAAAAAATATATAGAAAATAATAAATTGTTTTTTTCAATTATTAATAATAATCACTTAAATAACTTTTCTATAAAATACAAATTAAAAAATCTTGAGGTATCAAATAAATTATTATATCACCATATATTTGTAAAAGAGAGATCTTTTTTAAACAAACCAATTTTTAAATATGACAATGAAAATGAGTGTGTATTAGATAATGATATTGATATTAATTATTCTAAAATGAATGAAAATTATTTAAATTTTATATTCCATGTGTTAAATAAGAGAAATTATTATGAAAATACCAATTTTAGAGAACATATTGAATATATAAATAATATGAAAAATGAAAATAACACCTTTTTATATAATAATTATGAAGATAATATTTTTAAACATTTATATAATGAGTATATGAATGAAGAATATTTAATAATCAATGAAATTGAAAAAAAAAAAATGAATGTTCATTATTCTTATTGGAATAATAGTTTCAAAAACAATTTATTTTTATTGAAGATATATTATGAATTATATGTATCCAAAACAAAAGGAAAAATGCAGAAAAAGTGTAATGAATATATAGACATTTCTTACTTAGTAGAATTGAAAAAAATTAGAAAGTTAATTATTAAATTTAGTAATTGCAAACAAAAATTTTATGATTGGAACTACATAAAATCTTATTTATATGATAAAAAAAAGGATAATAGTTCATATATTGATATAATTTTAAATCATTTATTATTTTTACAATATACAAAAACATTATTTTTATATAATTCAATTAATTCTATGATAAATTCTTTTGATTATTCTTTTAATTCTAATGTAAACCAAAAAAATAGTGATGGTTCTATTTATCTAAAAAATAATTTTAAAATAAAAAATAAATTATTATTTCTATTTAAAAACATATTTATATTTTATCATGAAAAGGAAATTTTAAAAAAAATGTTATTAAGTAGCATTCAAACAAGGAATGTTGAAATATTATCTCAAGAGATATATGAAATTGGATTAAAAAATAAAAGTATACCAAAAATATGTGAAAAAGAAGGAGTAAAATATATACACAATGAATGCCATAATAATTTTATTTATGATTGTAATATAATCGATAAAAATGATGAGAAAAATGTAATAAAAAAAAATGAAATAGAAGACAATTTTGTAATAAACTCTGCAACAAATTATGATTTATGTATTTATGATTTCATTATAAAAATTCCTATTTATATGTATGCCTTAATTTATAGAAATATACTAAATTACTTTTTTGAAAAAAATGAAGATTTAAATTTAAAAAGAATAATTTTTTTTTTGTTTCTTCATTTATACAAAAAAATACCAGAAATCATTACCATTCATTTAACTGCTTTTTATAAAATGTTTATTTATGATAAATATAAAAAAATTTTTAATGAAAATTTTTTTTCTCTACTTTATAAAAAACAGAATAATCTTATGAATAAAAATGACTATCAAGAGAGAAATATTTATAACGATAAATTTCATATAGCAAATACTTTATATGAAAAAAGTGCAATAAGTAATGAACAAGAGAAAATAATAAATGAATTTGAAAATATGGAAAAACATTTAACAACTTGTGTTCATTATAATAATAGTGAAAAAGAAGATAAATTTTCAGATATACATATTGATTCAAATTCAAAAGAAAGTGAAGAAAAACATAACATATTACATGATTATTTTATAACTTGTAATAATGTTACAGTCATACAATTTTTTAATAAGATAAAAGATTCAAATTTTTTATTTTGCTTAGATTTTAACGATAATATAACAAGTTTGTTAAATTCATTTGAATTAATTTTTTCTAGGATTTTTCAAATATTATTATCTTATGTAAAGCATTTAATGAATATTTATATTAAAAATATGCAATTTCCTTCTTTAAAAACTGAAGAAATGCAACATTCATTAAATTCAAGTCAAACAGAAAAGGATTTATCAGATGATAATGAAACTGTAAAATGTGAATTAAATAATTTGTGGAAAAATAAATTTTTATTCCTTTTAATTTTCCTAAACGAGTTAGTTTTATATTTGAATGATGAATGTGAAAACAATAATATTTTTCTTAATTATTTTTTTTTCCATATGCATTTAATGTCAGAGTTTTCTAATATTACTAATATAAATTTTTACATAAAAAATTTGATTGAAGAAGAATTAAGAAAAATATATATAGTATTCATAGATTTCTATTGTTATTTATATATTAAGAAGAAAATTAAATTAATTAAAGATATAAAAGTTAGTATAAAAAAACATATTCTCATAACACAAAATATAGATATTCCTGAATTTAATATAAAACATTTTGAGGAACTAAAACAGTTTTTATTTAATTTTAATAATTTTTTATATAAAATTATTGAAAATAACAAAGTTCTTGACTTAAAAAATTGTTTCTTTAGCGATTTTATAGAATATAAATCTTCCACAAAAAATTCAGAACTTATTAACTTATTCTTAGAAGAAAAAACATGCTATGATATGATAGCTTATAATAAAATAATTAATTTTAGAAATGAAGTTTATACAATTAAAATAAATAATCCTATGAAAATTATCACAATTATTTTTCAAAATGGTAATATAAATTCATATATAATTAAATATGGAGAAGATTTAAGAATAAATAAATATATATCAGATTTTTTTGATTTCACATTTCATTTAATAAATAAAAAAAAGTTTTACAAGAATTCTTTATGTGATAAATTTTTATATAATAATATTTTTCATTCAAATAAAGTTCTGAAAAATATGATTATGCGAGAAGAGGAAATATTTTTTGATTTTAGTAAATGTATCACTGTAAATTCATCCGATATAATATATTTATCCAATATAATAGGTTTAATAAAAAAAAATAAAAATGTAATATCTGTTTTATCTTTAATCAATGATGAAAATAAGAAAAATTTTAATGAAAATTACAATGAAAAATTTGCAAAAAAGATAAAAAAGTATGAAGAAGAAAAAATGAATCAAATAAAAAGCAGTGTTTATAGTGAACAAAAAATGGTATTTGAAAATGGAAAAAATGAAATAGAAAAAATTGATAAGTATGTGAGTATTAAAAACAAGAAAATAACTAAAAGAGAAAAAAAAAAAATATTAAAAGAAGTTTATGAAGAATTAAAAGTTGAATATGAGAAACAAACATATAGTATTAAATTATATATACATATGTTAAGTAATAATAACAAAGAATATTTTAATAATAGAAAAAAATATACATCATCTTTAATTTTTAATAGTTGTATAAATTTTATTGCAAAGGTTGGTGATAGACATTTAAATAATATCTTATATGATTATATTAATCATGAAATTTTTAATATTGATTTAAATTTAAGTTTTCAAAAAGGGTTATATTTAACTAACCCCGAAGTAGTACCTATAAGAATAACTGATATTTTCTGGAAAGCAACTATATTTAATTTTTCTAATTCTACTTTTATTTATAATTTAAATAAAATATCATCTATCATTTATCAATACAAAAACTATTATTTAAATAATTTTTTCCAATTCTTTTTTTATCCCTTTTATTACCATAAAAATAGAAATTTCTTTCAAATATTACAGTTTAATCACTCATTAAAAAGTAATTGTTCTATTACTAATTATGTAGAAAAAAAGTGTTCATTACAAAACATTAATGATTTGTTATTTTTTATTTATTCTATGATCAAATGTTTTAATAGTATATATATGAATCACAGTTTTATAATTAACAATATAAATAAATTTAAGAAAATTATACCCTCTCATATTCACCCTATGTATTATAATAATATAAAACTAAAAAACAAAATAGGTAATTTAATAAATAATCGATTATATTACTTTCATTATAGAAAAATTATAAATTCTTCTAATAATTACATGAATCAAATATTTTGTAAGATATTTTATTTGATAAATAATTACAAATATGTTAAAAAGAAAAACACAATGGAGGAAACTCAACAAAATATATTTGATAAAGAAAATGAGAGAACAAAGAAGGAAACAAAAAATATGATAATCAATATAAATCATGAAATTAAGTGCCTATATAATTATCCATATGTACTTAGTAACTCAATTAACAGTAATGATAAAAATTATGATGAAAATTTAAATGAAAGTAACAAGGATATTTTATATATAGACCATAAAAATAATATGAAAAATCTTTTTAAAAAAGTACCTCTATATCATTTAAATAAATTACATAAATTGTTACAATTAAAAGAAATAAATAAATTATATTTATTAAAAATTGAAAAGTGTATAAAAAAATTATTTGTAATTTATAACCAAAATTATTTAATAAATAAAACAATAAACAAGAAATTCCACACAGCGAAAGATTGCATTATAGAATGTTTAAAAATCAACAAAACAAATATAAGCAATGAATCGTTAACAGAAATAAATAACATTTTATATGATAATTTTTTGATAATAGAAAATATTGTAAATAAAAATATGAAGACACATTTCATTTATATATATTTCATTTCTTATATGTTTTATATTTTTTCAATTGACTTAAAAAAAATTATGAAAATTTATATATCTCATAAAAGAAATTCTTTAAAATATTTTATGAAAGAATCCTTTTTCTTTCCTCAAGTAAAAAGAAGTTGTTTAAGAAAAATAATAATAAACACTAGTAAGTATTTATATAATTTAAAAAATAACAATATTTTTTACTATTTATCAATTGAAGATAATAAAATTAAAAATGATAATAACGACTTACAGAAACAAACTCACAAATATTCAAAAAATGATGATAATACTGACATAAATTTCTTAAACACGAAGGAATATGAAAAAATAAAAAATTACTTAATTATTATTAATGAAAATATAACAAATATAAGTAAAGTTTATAATATGATTAAAAAAAAATATACAGATATATTAAATTCAATAATAATTTATTCGACATTATTTATATTTTTGTATTTGAAAAATATTGATTTAAAAATGGAAGAAAAAGAAAAGATATTTTATTCTCATTATAGAAATTTTAATTTAAAATATGATTTTTTTTATGCATATTTATTTAATTCTCCTTTAGAAAATAACACATATGTGTATTATGTTTCTTTTAAAATTTTATATATATTGAAATATATACAATATTTTTTACAAAATAATTATTATAAATATTACTTAAGTATACTATTATGCCTAGAAAAAAATAAAAAAACAAAAAAGTGTATATATATTAATAATAATAATAATAGGAATAATGAAAATATAAAAGTAGGAATTAGACAAAAAATATATAATACATTTTATGAGTTAAAAAAAGCGAAAACAAAAATTGATGTAAAAAAAAAAAAAAAAAAATGTTTTAGATTTACTCATAAAATTATTATAAAAAGCAATATAAGGCGTTATGCTAGCTCTCATTACAAAAATAGGAACCTCCTAAATTATTTTAACTTTTTAATTTATTTATTGAGTAGAAATAATTTCAAAAAGAATATCATGAAGCAAATAAACAATTTTTATAAATATATGATTATTTTTCAAAATATAAAAATAAACAATAAGAAGAAAATTAATATTGTATATGCTTACAACAAAATAGTTGAAATGTACCGTTTTTATGATATAAATATATATTATAAGAAAAATATAATTGATATATATAGAGATAAAAATTTGTATTTTTATAAACCATTTTATGACTCAAAAATGTTTTTACATGATGATAATGAATTAGACCTCTCGGAAAATTCTGATGATAGTATTACTTTTAATGAACAAAATAAGTTGTTAAAATTTCACAAAAGTATATATTATAGCAATCATAAATTTAAAAAAATAAAAGAACTTAAAAATAAGAAGGAAAATAGAAAAAATTGTGTAATTCAAAAAACAAAAATGAATATAAAACCTTTTGAAAAGTTTCAAAGAATTAATAAATTACATAAAGAAATAGATGAAGAGAAATTATATTATAATGAGTTAAATATGCTGTATTATATGAAACATTTTGAAAGTAATAACGATGTTCATTTTTTTAATCAAAAAATTTATTACAACGAAAAAGATTGTGATATTTTATTATCATCTAAAAACTTAATTTCTTCTATTTATTATGCACAAAATGATTTAATGAAAAAAAGTAGGAAACCTGCTAATTTACATTTTTTAAGAAAAAGCAATTTATTTCAACAAGTTTTTTACGTGTCTAAATCACCAAATTATTTATCTAAAATATATCAAGGATGGGCACCATGGTTGTAGTTTTTTTTTTTTTTTTTTTTTTTATATTTCATATATTTATTAATTCCGTAGATACACTTTATTTAATTTTTAAATTTTGTTTAAATATTATTAATTTTTTTTTTTTTTTTTTTAATTTCATTTAAAGTTATAATTTTTTTAATGTGTTACTTTTTAATATGTTTTTTTTTTATTATGATTATATTTCATTTTTTAAATTCATTTCTTTAATTTATGGAAAACAAAAATAGTTAATAGCTATTTTATGCATAAATTATGATAGTTATAGAATGTTCATTATGCTTTAAATCTTTGGTGCTAAAAAAATATATTTAGCAACTATTTTATAGATGTGAGTTTTTATTATTTATTTGATTTGATTTTTTTTTTTTTTTTTTTTTTTGACAAATTTAATTTAAAAAATATATGTAAATAATTCATAAAAACCTAATGTTTTTAATAAGTAATACAAAAAAAGAAAATTTTTAAAATTTATGAAAATAAATATATATAAATTTTTTAATTTTTTATTTGCTCTTTGCATATTACAAAAAAAAAAAAAAAAAAGAAATGTGTATAAATAAAAACTACAAAGATATTAAAAATTTGTTAAATTAACATAAAAAATAAATGATTAAAAATAATAAAAACAAAAAACATAGAAAAAGAAAAAGAATAAAAAATTTAAATACATCTCATTATTATATACATAAAAACAAATATGTTCTATTTTATTTTATTATATTTTTTATGGAATACTAATATATACAATTAACTTGAAATGAATCGAACAAAATAATAGTAATTTTTTTTTTTTTTTAATACTTTATTATTTAAAAAAAAAAAAAAAAATTATATGTGCAAAATATTGTAAAAAATAATTTTACCTTTTTAATATATAAAATTATAAATTAGGTAATTATAATAAGTAGTATATTAAGTAAAAAAGGAAAAATGAAGTAATTTAAAATAAATAAAATAAATAAATATCAAAAGAGTTACAACAGCTAAAAACCATGAAAATTTTTGTTGTTTTACATTATGATATGTTTTTTTTAACTCTTTTGCACTATTAAAAGTATTTATACTAGTTTCATAAACATTATTATTCAAAATTTCAATATTTTCTTTTTGCGTAAATACAAGATTTGCTAAATCTTTAAAAACTTCTTGTGCTTGTGCCACTTGACCTTGTATTTTTTTTATTCCTTCAAATCGTTCTTTAGCTATCTCATTTTCAATTAAAAAATCATTTTCACTAAATTGATCTAATTCATAATCAAATGCATTAGATGATTCAATGAAATCATCATTATTAACATAACTTTTATCAACATTTAAAATAAAATTATCATTAGCAAAATCGCTTGAAACAAATTTATTACTTTTTTTTTTTTTTAAAGGATTATTTATATTATTATAATTCATTTCACCATTTTCTATATTGGGTAATTCATTTGCTGCCTTTTTTACGTTTACAGATATATTTTCTAATTTATTCACCTCATTTTTAAAATGAATATTTAATTTTTCAAAAATATATTTTTTTTTCTGTTTCTCAAATGGATTCCCTGCAAATTTGATTTCCCATTCTCGAAATAAACTTTCTGTTTCTACTACCTTAACATATATTTGTTGTATTTCTTCATGTAATGCTTCTATAATTCTTTTAGATATTAAATTATTTTTTAAGTTTTCTAAATTTTCTTCAGCATATATCATGTTTTTTTTAATTAGTAAAATATTATCTTTTATTTTCTTTTCGTGATCATCTGCCTTTTCCTCTATATTTGATATATGCCCGCTTTCATAATTTTTGTATGACATTTTATTCCTATAATCAAAATAAAAGTTTTAAAAAAAAAAAAAGATTATCCTTATGATACAAAAGCATGAAGATAAAATAAAACATGCACATATTATCCCTCTTTAGAAGGCAACATAATTCATATACTTGTAAAATGGATAATAATTCACGAAAAAAAACAATAAAAAAAAATTAACAAGATATAAAATAAAATTACTAAATTTAATATGTATATATATATATATATATATGTATATATTTATTTAATTAAAATACTTATCAAAATTAAATTTTTTTTTTTTTTTTTTTTTGATATTATGTAAAAATAAAATATATAAATAAAACAAAAGAAAGAAAAATATTCATAAAATATTATGCGTAAAGGTTTATTAAAAAAAATTATATGCAATTATAAAATAATTGAATTTCTACATTTTAACTTTTTGTATTAAAAAAAAAAAAATTCATATATTTGAAATGAAGAAAAAAAATATGATTTACTTAGATAAAAGTAGTAAAACGTTTAAAAAAAATAAAATAAAATAACTCAACAGATAAACAACAAATTAACACATAAAAAATTATTATTATGTAAAGCATAATAATATAAAAAATTACACTTAAAAAATATTAAATACTATAATAATTAAAAAAAAAAAAAAAAAAAAAAAAGATAATTATTATATATGTACATTAAGTGCTTATAAGTTAATAATAATATTTTCTTTACACTTTTTACAAATATATTAATATTATTTTATTATAACAATTGTTAATTAAAAGTTCTTAAATAACCATATGAATATTTTCTATAGTAATATGAAAAAATGAGAATTAAATATTTAGTATTATCGAAATTACTATTATACGTATATTTTCCGTGTACTTATAAATTAATAAGAACTAAAGTTGAGAATATTTTATAATTTACATTTTAAAATTAAAAATAATCTATAAATTTTTTATATTACAAAGTTATATTATGGAAAAAAATAAATTTGCATAATTCAAAGATTATTTTAAGACTAAAATTTAAATAATCATACAAATAGGTTTATATTATTTATACTATTTTTAACTTAAAAAAAAAAAATATATTTTTTAACTGCACATAATTGTATACCAAAAAAAGAGATAAAATGTAATTCTTAAAAACTTATTTTTTCTTTTTTTTTATTTAGTTATAATTTATAAAAATGTTAGAAGTTCATATATTATAAGAATTATACTAATTCTCCTTTATTATCCAATTAACTTTTTAAAATTAAAAAGTTAAATATAAATCGAAAATATTAATTTTTTTTAAGGTATATAAAAAAAATATATACACACCTAACAGTTAATTCTTTTAAAAATAATTTTTATTCTAATATTCTATTTTTTTAATATATAGAATACGTTATATTATTTATGCATTGTTTTACTAAAAATAATGATTTATATTGATAATATAAAAAAATTCAATACAGCTCTTGTGAACAGATTTTAAATAATATTATGTATGATATATATTTCTTGATAAAATTTAAAATATTTTAAAATTATTTTGTGATAATGTTAAATCTTATAAGATTTATAACTTTTATTTTTTTTGTTATTTTTTTTTTTTAAATATATAAAAATTTTTCTTTTTAGTTTAATATAAAAATAAAAGAAAATTATTTTTTTACTTTTTTTAAATTAACAAAAAATATATATATATATTTATGTCTGTCATTTAATTGTATTATTCTTTATTTTATATCTAATTTTTTTATTAACAATAAAAATGAATTCATAATTAAGTTTATTAATTAGAAATATATAAGTTCTATTAAAAGAAAAATTTGTTTAAATAATTAAAGAATAGTAAAAAGAAAATTTAATATAACAAAAAAAAAAAAAAAAAAAAAAAAAAAAAAAAAAAAAAAATTTAAAAAAAAAAAAAAAAAAAAAAAAAAAAAAAAAAAAAAAGTAAAAAATAATAACTATAAAAAAAACAAAAATAAAAAAAAAAAAAAATGTGTAAAAAGGAGGAAATAAGTTATTAATTACACTTAATTATTTTTTCACATATTAAAAAAAAAAAAAAAAAAAAAAAAAATAGATGAATTCATAATTTTATCTATGTAAGATATTTTTCAAAATATTTTTATTATACTAAAAAAAAAAATCAACAATAATAATTGAACATACATTTTTGCTTAAAATATGAAGCAAACAACATAAAAATATAAAAAAACAACAACAAAAAAAAAAAAAAAACTATAATTTAATTCTTATTTATAAGTAAAAATTTAACTAAAGAGAAAAATTGCAAAGAATTTTATTAATAGAAAAAAGGATATATATGTAATTAAATTATATGCACAACTGGAGATTTAAACAAAGAAAGAATAAAATATAGAATGTATAATGAATAAGTAATATCATTTTGTTAATTTCGTTAAACTAATTCTTTAATAATATTATTAATTATATTTTTGTAATACATTGATTTCTGTTTATTATATTTATAATATTTTTGTTATATCAATTTAAGCTACTTAGATTAATAGATTTAGAGATATTAAAAAAATCATTATTCTTTTGATTATTTATCCAATCATGTGACAATATTGGATAAGCATATTCGTTAAAGTTTACATGATTATTCCAAATATTCTGATCATTATTTATTTCCTTTTTATATTTTGATAAATCATTATTTAATTTGTGATTATTATTATCATTCATGTAACCATTATTATTATGATTATTCTTATAATCACTATTATTAGTATTATTAATAGTATTGTTATTAAGAATATTATGATTTGTAGAATTTGCAGGTATCTTATTAAAAGTTGTTGAATATAAATTGTCATTAAATAATATGTTTTTTGTATTTAAACTATTATTAAAATTTGAAATATTAGTAAAATTACTAATTTTTTTATTTGTATAATTTTCGTTCTCATTATTTTTTAATTCATTAGAAATTATATTTCTTATCTTTTTTATAATATCTGATTTCTCATTAGAAAATTCTAATAGTTTATCTAAGTTCATACTATTATCATTTAATCCTGCGTTTTCTCTTAAATTTAATTTTGCATTTTTTTCTCTTATAATATTAGGTGTATATTTTTGCATTAAATTTAAATTATTAATATTATTAATATTATTAATATTACTAATATTCTTATTACTATGATTACTACTACTACTACTAATATTATAATCATTTCTTAAAATAACGAAATCATTTTGCCAGGAATTTATATCTTTACTTTTATTTAACTCCTCTTTTTTCATTTGTTGTAATTGCATGAGTCTTTGTTGTATATTTTGAATTTCTTGATTTTCTTGTTCTTTGTGTTGACGAGTAATGGATTTATTATTCTTTTTTTGGGAAAACTCTTCTGATTCTTTTGTTTGATGATTATCGTAAGGAAAAGATTTAGATTTTGCAAAGGTAAAATTTTCATCATAATAACTTTTTTTCTTTTCTGTCTGTTCATTATTTGTGCTATTTTGTTGAAAAAACTGTTCTAAAACCTCTTCCTCTACTTTATTATTTGCCTTTTTATCTATTATATTAAATGAATTAAAATTAGGATAAATGTTTTTTAAATTTTCAAATGATTTCAGATTGCATAATAAGTTTCCACATTCTCTATTTATATCATTACTATTCTTAATAGAAAATATATCTTTATTATCATAACTGGTAGTCACATCTTTTAAACTTGGAAAAGAACTAACATTTTGTGAAATTAGAATATCATCTATTGTTTTTATAATGCTATTAAAATTTTCATCAATTCTCGTTGTATCATCAAAAGATGACATCATATTTTCATTTCTCTTTTGATTAGAAATTAAAACCTTTTCATTATTGTCATCAAGAAATAAATATTTTGTTAAATCTTCACTATTCATTTTACTGTTAGTTTCTGTTATGCTACTTCCAAAAGAAGTTTTATTTTTTTGTTCCTCTTGTTCTTGTTCTTGTTCTAGTATTATATTTACTTGATCCTTTCTTAATGACTCTTTTAAAAGATTATTTTCATTCAACAAATATTTAATAACCTTTGTATATTTATCATTATTTTCTATAAAGGTAGATAAAGTCATATTTTCAATTTTATCAATAACTTCTTTAATAGAGTTTGAATTTTTTTTATCACAAAATGTTAAACCATTTCCTGTTATCTCGCTATTAATTATTTCATTTTTATCTTCAAAAAAATTTTTATTTAAATTGAAACTTCCTACTTTATTTTTTTCTTTTGTTTTTTCTTTATCACTATTGTTTTTTTTTAACATAAAAACTTCTCTGCTTTTATCAAATGAAGAAACGTTTGTAGTTTCCATGGAGCAATTAATTGAATAATCGCATGTGTTAAAAGAATTTGTTGAAGATGTTCCTTGCTTTATATCACAAATGCTGATTTTATTTTTATTTTTTTTTATATGTTTTGCATTTTCTAATAAATCTATATCTTCATTTGTTTTTATATCTTCACTTCCATGAGCAAATCTACATTTATTGCCATTAAAACATTTCCCTTTACCCCAAAAACTACAAATCGTAGATTTATATGTAGCTAAATGAACACTAGGTTTCAACGTATTAATATCATGTGCAAATTTACAATTTACATTACGGCAAGGTATTTTTTTTTTTATATAATCACACAGTTTGGTATTTCTTAAATCTGGCATAGGTTTTAATTCATCTATACTGTGAGCATAATGGCAATTTGATTCATTAAGACAATAATTTTTATTTTTTTGAAAAGGACACATTTTTGTTTTGAAAAATTGTTGTTTTATAAGTGACAACGTTTCAGATTGAATCTGTGGTGTATTCTTATGTTTTTCATTCATCTTTTAACTTAAAAAAAAAAAAAAAAAAGGAATTTCAAATAATTTATAGATAATTTATTAGTATCTAAAAACAAACAAACAAAAAAAAAAAAAAAAAAAAAAAAAAAAAAGTTAAATTATACTTTATAAAAAAAAAATAAATCACATAATTCTACTATAAAATTATATATCAGGGTTAAAATTATTAAATTAAAAAAAATAACCTTTTATATCATAAAAAATAATATACATATTTATATATATATATATATATTTAATTTATAAAAGTAGTTAAAATTTATGTACACATCTTTCCTTCTTTTTTATAAAATAAAATGTTTTATATATAATGTAAAATTCAGTCAAAAAAACAAATATTAATATGAAAATAATTTAATGATTTTTTTAATAACAAAAAGAGAAAACATAAAAAAAAAGCTGAAAGAAAAAAAAGAAAAAAATTAAAACAAATAATTAAATAATAGATCAAAATTAATAAAATTATTGTGTATAAAACAAAATTAAATCATAATTGTCAATATAAAAAAAATAATCTTCCTATAAAATAAAAAACAAAATAATTACATTGACAAAATGGTTTTGATAGTTCATCATTAAAAATTACATAAAAGTGTAATTTTTATACTATAAAATATTATTATATATAATTCTTTTTTTTTTTTAACATTTTATGTAAATATATGTATGTATAAAAAAACAGTAACATCGGTAAAAAATAAATTAGTATAAAAAAAAAAAAAAGTAAAATAAAGTAAAATAAAACAACAATGTATAGTAGACAATACTTAATAATTCATTTAATACATCTATACATGTATTTTTTATAATTGTAAAAAAAAGTTAATCATATAAAAAATAAATCAACTATAAACAAATAAAAAGATAAAAAAAAAAAAAAAAAATTTTAATTGTAGATTTATAATATAAATGAGCTAATAACTTTTAATATATGAATATATTCATATCTTTTACACGTATTTATGCTTTTTTTTTTTTTTTTTTTTTTTTTTATATACATAATTGAAATAAATAATTTTACAATATTTTTAAAAAAAATTTATGCACAAGCACTTTTGTATTTCATAATCTTTACAATATATATTTTTACAACATTATGTCTTATTTATTTTTTTATTCGTTTATTTTTTTTTTTTTTTTTTTTTTTTTTTTTTTTTTTTTTTTTTTTTTTTTTTTTTTTTTTTTGAGTTATTTTAAATTTTTTTATACACTATATCTATATATATATATATTTTTTTATAGACAATTTATTTATATTTTTTTAAGGTTAAGAAAGAAATATAAAGCAAAAAGGAAAAATATAAAAGAAAAAAAAAATTATGTGTGTAATTAGATACCAGTGATATTTTTATATTTTAGATAAAAAAAAAAAAAAAAAGAGTAAAAGAAAATTATCTTTTAATTGTTTACAAGGAATGCTTATATTTATGTATAGATGTAAGGATCAATTATAAAAAATGAAATCTTAAAAAAAAGTTTCAATGAAAAAAAATTTATTAAAAAAACATAATGTAAACATGCGCAAAATAGATATGAGTGCAGGACAATTCTTGTATATATATAGATATTTATACATATAAATATTTTATAAATTTAATTATTTATAAATTTTAATATATATAAATTTTAGTATTTAATTTATTTATTTCATTTTTTTTTTTTTAGATATTTTTTTTTTGCATAGTGCATTTTATTCTTTCATTGATTCCTTGATGTTATAAAAAAAGGACAATTTTTCTTTTTGTATTTTATTTAATCTTGTTCTTTTTGTTAAAATGTTTTTTTTTTTCTATGATAATTCATTTTATTTGAAATCAAAGGAAAAATTTTAATTGTTTGTCTTTTTATAAGGTTTGCACACTTTATGATAATTGTAAATGAGGATAATATATATTCTACATATTTATTATGCATATATATACTTAGATTAATTAATTATATTAAATACTATATTTAATTAAAATAAAAAGAAAAAATAATGTAAGCTTAAATGAATGATGAATTTTTAAAATATGCTGTTGTTTTTTTTTTTTTTTTTCCTTCCTTCTTTTCTTTAATTACCTTAAAAAAAGGTAATCCTTATATAATTATATATATATATAGAGATTTGTTTATATTATTTAATTATTTTTTTTTTTTTTTTTATGATTTCATGTGTGCGCTTGTAAATTTTAAGCAATGCTTTCTACAAGTGTGTGAATTCTATGTTAAATTGGAAAAAAAATTATAAAAAGAAATATGTAAAAATTTTATGTGAAGGAACCAATAATATGAATGCATAAATTATATAAGAGCTAACTTTTTTCTTTCTAAAATAACGATAAATATCAGTGATAATATTTTTTTAAACGAATAAATATATTACCATCACGTTTTTTTTATTTTTAATTTTAACTTTTATTTAAAGGAAATCATTGTTTATTTAACGCAGTTTTCCAGATTAACAAATTTACCAAATTACTAGAATTATAAAATGAAAAAACTTTTTATTGTTTTTTATAGAAATTTCTGTAGGTTAGAGATAATTTAAAAAGTTGAAAAATTGTTTTTTTTGTTTATACACATTAATTATAAAATAAGACTTTTTTTTTTAACATATACTCAATTATTCAATGTAATAATGTGTTAATGAAATATCTTTGTAAATTAAAAAAAAAAAAAGTAAAAAGAAAAAAAAACTTATGCCTAATAAAACATTATTTTCAAAAATATATTTGATTATTACAATGATTATGCATTCATTAAAAGATTCATATATATACTTTTATAAATATTATTTTAAAATGATAAAATAATAATTAATGAACTTAAATTCACACATATAAACTCAAAATATAACAATTAGAATATAAATGTTTATATAAAAGAGTATTCGAATAATATGTCACCCCTCTTTTTTCAAAATTTTTAAAAGACCTTAAAAAAAAACGTTTAATAATAATGGTAATAAAAAAATAAAAAAAAAGTACATTAAAAGATACAAACATGAAATTTTATTTTATTTTATTTAATTTTTTTTTTTTTTTTTTTTGTTTGTATTGATATGTTAGCATTTTTTTTTTATTGTTGGAAGTCTCATACCCAATACTACTGTAGTGTTAATAAGAAATAAAAAAGTTAAGGTATAAAAAATATATATTTGATAAAAAAAGAAGATAATGTAGTTTTTTAAATGGTAGTTTTTTTAAGAGAATTTTGTTTTAATTTTTCTTCTTTTTAATTTATTTTTTAATTAAGATTTTTTCATAAAGTTTATAAAATTATGTCATTTATTTATATATTGCACAAAGCATTTACAAATTAACAACAAAGGTTCTATAAATGAAATAAAAAATTTTGAAATTTTAATTTCATTACAATAAGTGAAAAATATAGATTAGAATACAAAGAATAAATCCAAAAAAATGAAAAATACTGATAGCAAAATTTAGAGTTAAATTATTATAAATCAAAGATATTAAATTCATTAGTAAAAAAAAAAGAAATATTTTTTAATTAAAAACTCTAGTCAATGATTAAACTTTCAAAGACTTTTTTTTTTTTTTTTTTTTTTGATATATAAAAAATTAAAAACCATGTAAAAGTTTATTTTTTTTTACACTGTGAAGAATTATTTTACAATTCCTTAAGTATTATTAAAAAGTTTTTAAATAGTTAATTTTTTTTGTGAATTAATAAAAAAAAAAAAAAAAAAATATATATAAATATAAGTGAATTAAATATTAAAAGAAATTAAAAGATTATGAATATTACATTTTATAATTTAATTCATTTTAAGAATAAAATAAGAAAAAAAAGCAAATGAAAGAAAATCCCTCTATTAGTAGCAAATTCAAAAAAACAGAAGATGAATTGATATTAGATTCTCAAGAAGGTTTCCTCAAATATGAAATAAAGGAAAAAAGTGAATTTAGTAATGAAAATTATTTAAAAAATTATGCTATTGAAGAATCCAATATAAATTTAACAAATAATAATAAAGATAAAAATGAGAGTTTAAATGAAGAGGAAAAAGATAAACAAAACGACATAATAAATTCACAAAATATTTCAAATAATATTTTAATACCAAAAGTAATTAAAAAATATGTTAATATTACTCATAAGGAAGAAGTTGTATCATATATTTATACATTAGTTTCATATAAAAATTATAATATTTTTTTTATAACTCATAATGGAAAATTTGCTTCATGGATATATACTTATAATGTTATTTTACCTTTCTCAGTTGATCAAGAAACTGAAATAATTTTTGGGGAAAGAAATTATCCTCTTTTGGAAATTTTTTGTTCAAAATTTATGAAAGATCATGCATCTTTATTAAAATATAAACCAATTATATTTGCATTGTCTATTTATAAAATGAGTTTTGATGATAAAGACATCTTAAATCAAATTTTTGTCAATTTGAGTAATATAATAAAATAATTTACGTATATATGTTATAAAAATAAGGAGAAAAATAAGCTATTATTTTTAAATAAATTCATTTAATATGTATATATATTACTATCATTATTTTTGTTATATGTAGAATTATATGACTCATTTATATATATTTTTTTTTAATATTTTTAATTTATTAAATTTTCTAATGAAACATATTTTTTGGCATATAATATTTATAAAGAAGTCATAATTAACATGTTTTTATAAAAAAACTTCTAAATTTCTTTTAATATATTTATTTTATTACTTTTTATTTTTTATTTAAATATATTAATAATATAAAGAATTATATTATGAGAATATTATGCAGATTAAATTATTCTAATAATTATCCATATAAATTAACTCATATAAACGTTTTAAAAAATAAATTAAAAAGTTCTATTATCTTTTTTTTTTTTTTTTTTACCTTAATATATATTAATTATTTTAGTAAATATCAAAAAAAAAAAAAAATTATTTTTTATACGTAATACAACTAATATTTATTTGTTATTTTCCATATAAATACTTTTAAAAAGATAAATTACTGTACTGTTAAGATTAAAAGTCACATATATAATTTGAAATAATTATTTATTTTCGTGTGTACAAATATAAAAATGGGAGATAAAAACTTTTTTTAATTAAGTTAAACAATTAATTTTAACTATAATTGTGTTTATATAGTATTTATTTTTAAAATACACTTATTTTATCTTTTATTTTTCTTATATACATAAATAAATGATTACAAATGAATCATTATAACTATTTTTTAAACATGAGGAAAAACATATTATTTCTTCAAAATACAGTTATATACTATAACAAAATAAAAACATTTATATATATATATATATATAAATCGCAAAAAATTTTATTTACTTTTTTATCTTTTAAAGCTTGTTAAATTTATCAAGTACTTAAGACCCTTTAATAATAATATTTTTTTCTTTTTAAACATAAACATTTTGTAAAATATAATTTTTTTTTTACACACAAAATTTTAACTTAATAATTTAAGTTAAAATAAAAAAAAAAATTAATGAAAATGTATATATTTTATTATTGAAGAGTAAATTAATTAAGGATTTTTAAAAGTACTATATTTTTATTTGTCTCAATAAGTTATTAAGGAAAATTTAATTTAAAGAAAAATGTCACATGTGCATAAACAAAAAAATATATATATATGGTAAATTTTTCTCAGATTAAAATTTTATTTGATGTTTATTATAAAATGTATATTTTTTGTAGCTACTTTTTATTGTTTTGTATTTTTTCAAATAATTATGTTATAAGAGCAATGAAATTATTTTACTATAAAATTAAAATAAAAATAATTCTTCAAAAACACATTATTAGAATAATAATTAATTCTATTTAGAAGTAAAATAAGAAAAAGTAAAAAATATTATTTTTTTTAAATTATTACTTATTTTTAATATATATATATAAAATTAAATGTTAAATAAAGAAAAAAAAATTAAATTCTAATATGGAATTTTTTTTTAAATATATTTCTAAAATACATTTGTAAAATTATTACTTTATTAACACATTACACTTTTTTACATTTTCTGAGTACCAACAATTTCGTATTTCATGTTTTTTAGACTATTTATTTGTAAATGGCATAATTTAATTTTAAATATAATAATATTTGCTAACCTTTTTTGAACTTCATAAATTTACTGATATCATTTTAAGATCCATAAAAATATTATTATTAATTTGTATTTAATTAAATAAAATTTTAAAATTATTTTCTTGTTACACTGTATATATAAATGATAATACAATTGTATAAGTCATTTTTGTTTTTGTATATTTTATAATTAACATAATTTTTTTTATCATTATATTTATATTTAATTCTTTTTTTTTTTACTTTATTAAGGTTTTAAAGAAATTCCTTTGATAATGATTCAAAGATTGTAAATTATTATTCTAATTAAAGTTTTTTTTTTCTTTTCATTATTATTTTGATGGTTCATTATATAATATATCTTTGATGTTATATATTATATTGTTTATTTTTTCATATAATCACTTACAGTTTATATTCTTAACAACCTAAAATAAAAGTATTTTGTGAAAAAAAAAAAAAATTTAGAAAATATATACTATTATTATTAGGATTCTTTTTATATTCATTTAAAATGTAAAAAATTAATTTATATTTTAATCAAGGTTTAGGTGAATATATCTACTGTTGTTTTTACAAACATTTAAGGTATCATAAAATCTCTTCCATTTTTCGTGTTTTTATTTCTACTCAAATTTATTGTATTTTTCATTTTAAAAAAAAAAAATAATTCATAGTATTCAAATTTTAATATATTATATATTTCGAATAAAAGTAAAATTTTTTTTCAATTTTTTTTTTTTTGTCTTATTTCAAGAGTTCATGTGTCATAATTATATTATGAAGTAGAATATTTTTTTTAGTTCTACTTTTTTTTTCATGTAATTTTTTTTTATAAATAAAATTATTATTTTTTTGCTGAAATTTTTTTTTTTTTATTTTTTAATATAAAAACTTCCACATATTAAAACACATTTTTTATATAATATTATTTTTTTTTTTTTTTTTGTAGTTTCAAAGTATCTTTAATTAATTATTCCACTAAATATTAATATATTTTTCTACAATTTTTCAATGGAAAGGATTTATACAAATTTTATTATTTAAATTATTAAATATTTGCTTTATCTTTCGTTGATTTAGTTTTATTAGTGAAAAAAAAACAGAAAAATAATGCATATCCTAATAGTTTAAGCTTTTCCATTAAATTAGTAAATGCATTTTTAGTATATACGCATTTATTTTTGCAAGTAATTCTCCTGTAAATTCCTTTACTTTTTTTAGGTCTATAGTCAATGGAATTATTTAATAAATTTTCATCTTTCATGTTTTTAATATAGGAATAATTAATAATATCATTAAGTATACTTTGATTTTTTCTTATGTTTTGCAATATAAATGGGATATAATAATTCTTAATAGATTTGATGTTTTTTGAATTATGTTGATCAAGAAAAATACAATTATTTCTTTTCTTTTTGAATTTTCCGTTTAAATAAGATTCATTTATATGGTGTACTTTTTTAAAATGATTTTTATATTTTGATATATATTTTATTTTATGGGGTGTTCTGTTTTTCATTTTATTAAAACTTCCTAAAAAAAGTATATTTTTGTTAATTAATTTATTAATTGGTTCATATTTAATTTGAATATTCCGATTATTGTGTGTATTAAGATTAAAATTTGTTCCATTTTTTTTCAAGGAATTCTTGCTTTTAATTTGTTTTAAATAAATATAACGTGACTTGTACAATAAAGTATCTTTATATTTTTGTAAGTTGCTATATTCTTTTTTAATTTTATTTTCGTTTTTTTTTTTTAAATTTACTGAAATGTTTTCATACAATTTTTTAGTTTTTATATCTTTATTATTTAAATATATATTTTTTAATAAATTATTATATTTATTAATGTTATGGTTTGGTATCGATTTAATTTTCAAATTATAGGATGAAATTGGTAGCTCACTCATTTCACCTTTAAAATTTGTGAAATAATTATAGTTTGTTTCGTACATTTCTGTTATACTATTGTTTGAAGACAAAGAAGGGTCTGTACTTGACATAATATTGTAATGCTCAATATTATTATAATTTTGAATATTATTTTTACTATCTTTTAAATTTTCCTCACTAGAGCTTTTTCTATTTATAAAATCACTTTTAATTTTATCTAAATCTTTATATAATTTTTTGGAATTAAAATTTTTACCTTTTAATCCGTCACCATAAATAATGTAGTTTTTGCCACAATTTTTTTTATTATTTGATTCATTTTTATCATCTATTTTTTTTATTAGCTCTTTATATTTTTTTTGTTGGATCCAATAGTCTATATTTTCTACATTTGTATCTTTTATGTTTGTACAATTCGATATATTAAAATTATTTCTGTTGATGAATTTATCTTGTTCATTTTCACCTTTTTTCATTATTGATTTATTTTCATCGTGCATATTTGAATATTTTTATAAATTAAGAATTTTAAAGCGAGTTATGTTTTCTTTATTGTTTTTATAATTATTGAAGATGCTATTTATATTTTTTTCGAACTTTTTAATAAATCTTTTATCTATTTTTTACTTAAAATTTTTCTTATAGTTGCATGAAATTATGTTAGAATAATTCATATTTATGTTATATTTTGTTTTATTTTTTACAATATATTAAAATTTATTATTTATATATTTCATTTATTTTATTTTATTTTTTTTTTTAATAATTATTTTATATTTCATTTATTGTTTTACAAAAAAAAAAAAAAAAAAAAAATTAAAAAGGGATCCATATGAAAATTTTAATTATTATTTATGGGGCAGTGTTGTGTATAAGAAAAACTTTTTAAAATAATTTTAATATTATTTGTTCCATATATATATATGTACTAAAAAGTATTTATTCTATATATGTAAATTATATAATACTTATAGTTTTGTATATTAATGTATCATAAACTATAAAAGGCTGGAAAATTCGTAAAAAATGGTTTAAATAATGCCCACAACTAAATATAAAATATGTAAAGAATAAATTATATAATTTTCAAATAAATGAGGATATTAATAATTAAATACAAAAGATATAATTTTTCTTTAATAAATATTTTATAAAAAGTATTAATAGATACAAATCTACAAACATTTACAAAGTATTAGATTTTTATAATAATAAAATTTATTCTCATTTATTATTAACTACGTTTCACATTATTTTCATAAGCTCATATAAATTTAGAGAATTATGAAATGCACATAAAAGAAATTATAAGCTAAATTGTATTTTTTTTAAATTGCTAAAATTCTAAGTTAAGGCATATATTCTTATAGAATTATTGTGATGAAAAAAAAAAAAAAAAAAAAAAATTATGTTTAAAGCAAAAATATTAAAAAATAATATTTTTATGGAATAAAATTTTTTTATCATTAATGCTTTTTTTATATCATATGCAAGCTCCTTTTAATTTCATTTCATATTTTTTGCTTTATTAGCTAATATAGCATATTTTTTTTTCGTTATATATCATTTTTGTTTTGTATTTTTTGGAATAAATTCTGTCTTTTATATTAATATGAAAAACTATAAGAAATAAAAATAAAAAAATTCTGAACATGATATAAAAAAAAAATAATCTTAAACTAATTTAGCTATTTTATTTTCTTTTTTTCCTATGAATTTATCTTCAATAACTCCTAGACTCTAAAAAGCAATATTTTATATTTTAATTTAAAAAATTCTTTTTATTAATTCTTTTATTAAGTAAAGAGAAATAATATGAAAAATGTAAAGCCTTTACAATTTTTGAAAGAAACATTTCTCATTAAATAAATAAATTTCAGAGGTTTCTATATGTTGAGAAAAAAATTAATCAATAAAATATATATATATATATTTTTTTTTTTTTTTTGAGTGTACAAAACATATTTAAATCTAAAAAAAATAGAGGTATATAATAAAAGAACTAATAAATTAATACACTTATATACTAATATATATTGAAAGAATTGCATTAATTCTTACATTTTTATGACTGTAAAAAATATATATATATATGTAATAATTATTTATAAGTAGGACATATTGAAAAAAATAAATAACAAAAAAAACAATTATAATATTTCCTTAATAAATGTACCATAAAAATTATTTTAAAAAGAATGTCAGCAAAACTATGTTAAATAATACCATTAAGAAACACAAAAGAGATAAATAAAATAAATCATAATGACATAAAACAAAGTATAAAAATATTAAATATTAAAAAACAAAAAATGTTTCATTTGGAATGAGCATGCCTTAAAGTTACGGATCTGACAAATAAAATATCTCGAATTTTTGCAAGATCCTTACTACTAAGCCATCCATAATCCTTTGAACATTTTTCTTGTATTTTAACATTCAATAAATAATTTAAAACATTGTTATCAAATATATCTATAAATTGAAAAATAGTCGATATTTTCAAAGGTGTTACAGAAAAATGTACTTCCGAAGAAAAATGATGTCTTAAATGAAAAGTTTTGGATTTTTTTAAAAATTGAAGTATATCATTAATTTCTTCATCATTATGAACAAAGTCTTCATCTTTTAAATCAATATTAGTTGAATGTACTGTTAATATGTCTTTATCAATGTTTAAGTCATCAGAATTAGAATTTATTAAACTATTCTGAAAATTATTATAATCCTCTGCATTATCGTTTCCTATATTTTCAGAGAGCATTTCTGAATATATATGACAATCTCTTTTACAATTACCTTGATTTTTTATTTCATTTTGCATTTCATTAAAACTATCTTTCTTTATATTATCACTATTCTTAGTAATGGTAGTAATATGTCTATTATTTATATTTTTAATTATATTAGTTACAATACTATCCAAAGCAAATTTCTTTTTTATTATATTTTTATTTATGTCTTCTAAATTTTTTGTTTTAATGTTTCTATAAAAATTATCTCTAAAATCTATAGTTTGATAAATATAACTTGTGGAATCCTTACGAGGATCATATCCATATTTACAGTATGTACGTCTCCATGGTCCATCAACAAAATAAAAACAAATTTTTGAAAAACAACTTTTTAGGCAGTATGTACTTATGTTATCCAGATGCTCTAATAAAACTTCTTTTGACCATATGGGTCTAATATCAAAAAGTAATTTGACTTTGTTATATAACTTATCTGAAACGTACTTTTTGATTGCTGAGTCAAAAGGGATTAACGGTAATGAAAGATCGTCATACTTTGCTATAGGATTACAGTGAATTGTTTTTTTATTTACTATAATTTTATTACTATACTTATTTAAAGAATCATTGTTATTTGAATAATCAAGCTTTTCAGTATTAGATATATTTTTTAATTCATTAACTGGATCATTAATTATAGAATTACCAAAATTAACTTTATTTTTTTGATTAAAATCATCATTTAAATGATTTTCAGAGTTTTTATTATCTTGCATATGCTTATTAACTTCGTCTTTATCATTATATAAACTGCTGCTTGTTACATTTATTTCGTCATTATCATTCATTGGTTTATTTTTTTCATTCACATCTGCTTTCTCTGTCATTTCTGTAAATGTATTTATGAATTTTTTTTCATTATTTTTTATTATTAATTCTTTAATAAATTTTTCTATTTCCCCTTTTTTTGCTTCGGCTTTTGAATCAATAGGAGCTGTAAATTTACTTATTATATATTTAAAATCTCTTATATATTTATTTGTAATAATTGATTCATAATTTTTATAATCATATGGAGTTACGCTTTTGCTATGTATACAACATTGTAATTCATAGGCTTCACTTTCATCCGAAGAAAAGTTAATTTCCTTTTTTTCCTCAAGTAAATCAGAACATACTTTTGAATTTATTATTTTATTAAATATTTCATTTTCCTCCATATCAGATAAATAATAATTAAAATTATCACCTAATAAATTCAAAGGATGATGTTTAGTGTTATCAAAAGTAGAGCTACAATTTTTTATATTTTCATTTAAAACAAGCATATTATTATAGTTTTGATAATTACATGTATTCGATATTTCATTTTTATAATCTTTATTTTTGGAGAAAATACTGTTCTTATTATGATTCATATTTTCATTTATTTCATACCATTTATCTATATGAGAATCTGTTTTATTATCTATTTCTTTATTTTTCATTATCTCATAATTTTCTTCTCCTTTTCCATTCTCTTTTATTACATCTACGCTAAAAGTCTCATAATTTTTATTTTCTAAATCCACATTAGGTAAGAAAACTTTCTGATCATTTTGACATATATCCTTAATTTGATTTAGTCCATCATTAAAGGAAACACATTTAAATCTATTATCTAAATTTTTATTTTCCATATTAAAATATGCATCCGTATTATAATTATTTGAAATTTTATAATCTAAGTTATTTGGACTTTTTTCTAAGAAATTGTTCACGTTATTTTTATTATGTACATATTTTCCAGTCAGTTTATTTGAGTTGACATTAACACATCTTCTATTTTGCATATCATTCTTGCTATTATTTGAAGAATTATTTTGCATACTGTAATTAACTTCATAATTATCTAAAATAGTTTCATTAATATTACTTGTTATTTCATTATTTATGCTATATTTAAAAGGTATTTCATTAACAACATTTGGGTCTTCTGTAACTTTATTAATTTGAGATACGTTTTTCGTTTTATATATTTGTTCGTTTTGGAAACAAATAAATGAGTCATTTGTATAATCATTCTTGTTATAAATATTTGATTCATAAATATCAGTAGGATTATTTTCAAAATTATCATAACTTTTTTTCTTCTGTTCTTTTTTTTTATTCCCTTTTGTTAAATAATGTATATAATTTGTATTATAGTCATATCTATTATAAAATGATGGAATATAATAGAAATCACTCATATTATCAAAATAATACAAATATTTAACAAAACCGAGACACTCAAACTTATATTTATTTTTTCTAGTTTTTTTAATTTTTATTAAAATATTGTTAACTTTTGTCCAATTTGATGATATAAAGGAAGAAAACATATCATTATTATTAATTCGCAAAATTAAATTTTCATCATATTTGCTAATGTTTTTATGAAATTTAAAAATACTAGTTATTTTTTTTAATCCTCCTAAACTTTCCACAGCTGATAAACCTTTACTTCCTTTTTTTATTTTACCTGGAATTTCAACACATATATAATCATTTTTTTTAATTTCTTCAAATTTTATTTTTTTGTTTCTATTTTTTTTGGTTGTTATTTTTAAAAATTTTTTATTATCTTCATTTTCACTACTTTGGGCATACATATCGATAAGTTTTTAAAATTATTTTATTAATATACCTAAATATATATATATATATTTTTAACATACATGTTTTCTATCTTCTCTGTCCATTGTTAAAAATATATTTATTATATATATGTATAATTATTTAATACAAATTATTTCATATATATATATATATATATATATATATATTTTAGTAGATCCCCTTTTTTTTTAAATTAAAATTATAGTTATTCGTTTTATTAACCTTTTAAATAATTCTTATAACTAAAGTATAATTATAGTAACATTCCTTCTAATATGTATTTAGAAAATATATAATTTTTACATAATTTAAAAGAAATATTTTCAATGAATTGTTTACAACTAATTTAAATAGAACTTACATCAGTTTATTCAAAGGTCATTCAGAATTACTTTTTATTTAAAAAAAGATGTAATATTTTTATAAAAAATTAAAATTTTTATAAAATACTAAGAATTAGAATTAATAAAAATGCGCTAAAATCTTAATATATGATGTTTTGTTCTTTAAAATTTTATTTTAAAAAAATAAAATAAAAACATAAAAATGAAAAAAAAACATATTTAGAAAAATTTTCCAATAATTAAAAAAAGTTTGAAAAAATTAACATAATTAAAAATGTATTAAGAAGCATAACATGAAAAAAAAAAAAAAAAAAAAAAAAAAAAATTTTTTTTAAAAAATATTAATAGTTTATAATTATATTAAATGAGAATTTATTTTAAAAATATTATAATGAATTGTAAAATATAAAAAAAAAAAAAATTATTTTCATTTTTTTTCTGATTAAAAAATAAGAATATATTTAATAAAAGAATGCTTTTATATAAATATGCTAAGGCTTCAAAAGATAAATAGAATAAATCATATTCATTTGAAGTTATTAAATGAAGAAAAGAACAAAATAAATGTTTGTGTAAATGAATATAAACAAATCATATGGAATAATAATAGCAAAACTTGCAAGAACAAATATAAAAATATTGATAATCTCCATAACATTATTAAAAGTAGTGTATTAAAAAATTATAAAAATGTTTATTTTTATAAAAATTTGTTAAGAATTGCTGAAAATAGAAAAAATGATTTTAACTTGCATCAAATAAATGTAATTATAAAATCCTTGATAAAAGCGAAAATATATAGATATTCGTTATTTCATTCTTTTGAAGTTCCTATTTTAAAATATGTAAGATATTTGAATACCTATATTAATGATATGAAAAATAATAATAATTTAAAATATGTAGATGAATTATATAAAAAATTAAAGTTAAATGAAGAAAGATATAAATCTAATAAAAAGTGCAACTTATATTTTTTAATTATTTCTGATCAATTTAATATATTGATTGATATTTTTAAAAGTTATAATTACATTAATTTTAAGTATGATTATTTTTATGAAACTTTATTTTTCTTTTTAACTAAAAATTATATATATTTAAATAATAGAAAGGACTTATCGGATATATGGATAATCTATTTAAATAAAGTTTTATGTAATGATGTAACATTTTTAAAAAACAAAAATGAGTTTTTTAATATTAAGAATATACACAATTTGATGGAAAAAAACAGTTTCAATTTTTTTAGGTTATATAGACACAAGTATAAGTGTAACATAAATATGAAAACGATTTATAATTATATTATTACATCTAAGAAAAAAATAAATAAAACAGAGAAAAAAACATCTTATAATAGTATTTTTTGTAAAAATAATATTTTTAGCATTTGTAAATATTTAGTAATAATTATTCTAAAAGATGAAAAATTAATTAGATATAAAAATAAAAAAATTAATAAAATTAAAAATTTATACATATCTAATGGCTATATGTATAAAATTAGGAATTCAAATAAAATATTGACTAATTTACAAGTAAAATATCTGATTAAAATTAATATTGTTGAAAACCTTGCTTTTTTAAAAAAAAATTGCTTTCCTAAAGAATTATTAAATAATATTAATTTTCTTCAAAAATTATCAAATATTTTATCTGAATTTAAGATAAAATCTTTTCTTTTTAATAGATATATAAAAAATGTAAAGAAACTTGAAGAAGTTAGTAAAATAAATAACAATTTTTTAATTGAACAAAAATTATAATTATATTTATAATAGGTAAATATTATTCTTTTTATTGTTAATTACTTATATATTTATATAAATTTTTCTTTTTATATTTCTAATAGTTTTCATGACAAAAAAAAAAAAAAAAAAAAATGGTATATTTTTTATATTTAAACTAGTAAAAAGGAAAGAAAATGTTAATTTAGTTTTTTTTTTTTAAAATATATATTTGTATTATAATGGTAATTTAAAAGAATCTGAATAAAAAAAATATTTATCTTCATTTTTTTTATAGTAATAAATTATCATTTATAATATTTTGAGCTTCAATATGATTAAATTATCAATATATAAAATGTAATGAGATAATAAGATGGACCATATGTATAATAAAATTCATAAAATATTATGTGAAAATATAAAATCTAAACTAAAATAGTTTTTTCTTGTTATTTTTCTGTTGACTAATATTTACAATTACAATAAATATATATGAGAGAAATGATTAAAATTCTAATAACAAAAAATTTAAATATTTAATTGGAGAATAAAGAACTTAAAAAATAACTTTTATTAATTTAAAAGACAACTAATTTATATTAAAATATAATCATAATATAATAAAAAATTATTTTAATAAAATATAAAAAAGTTAAAGTAGGTCAATATTGAATATCTAGAATAAGAATCAATTTTAATTATTTAGAATATATATATATTAGGACAAAACAAGTGTTATCAATTAGTGTTAATAAAAAAAATTAAATTTGGCAATTATAGAAGAAATAATTTGTTATTTTCAAAAATTCAATTATAAAAATTATAAAAAAACATTTAAATATATGAAAAATGAATTTTTTTTTTTTTTTGTGTTGTTAACATTTATTTTTTCTTTGAAGAATTATTTTATTGGTATATAGTTTTTTATATATTTGAATGTAGGAAAATGTAAAATAAAACTTATAGAATAAATTAATTTGCCATGTTGTATTATTTAAAAACTTTTTTTGATTATGCTTAAACTACCTTTTTTTTTTTTTTTTTCAAAATGGACATAATTTGTAAGCTTCATAAAGAGTAAATTTAATTTTTTTAGATATATTAAACAAAATAACTGAATTATATATTTTTCTTGTGAATTTAAATAATAATATTCTAAAATGAAAAAAAAATTTAAATACAAAAATAATTCATATAAAAATTCCAAAAAAATAACCTTTTTTTTTATAAATTTTAAAATTAATATAAATATATTAATTGTAACTTTTGGGAGCATTATTTTTATATAAATATTTTGCGAATAATGAAAATAAAATAAGTTAGATATAAATAATATAATTAATACTATAGAGAATTATCTAAATTTGCACATTAAAATGGATAAGGAAAATTACATTACAGATAGATGAATTTGAAATAATAACATAAATAGTTTGATTTAAAACATTAAAATATGTTATAAAAAATAAAAGAGAAATATATAAAATTAAAAGGATAACTATTTATATGGAAACAATGAACGTAATAAATATTTAGAGAAGTAAAAGTGATATATCTTTGTAAATCATAATGATTTAATGTTATTTTTATTTTTAATAATTATTATATTTTTTTTTGTATATTATTAAAAACAGTTCACATTATTTATAGAAAACAAAAAATATTTATAGTTTTTCATTATAATTTAATTTAAAATGTATAGTGACAAAAATTTTTGATATCTCATTTTTTAAATCATGTCATCAAAAAACAGAAAAATTAATTGTATTCTTTATGAATCAATAAACACAAAAAAGTAAATTATAATATTATTAAAGAAACATAAAATTAAATAAAATTAAACAATTTTAATAAATACAAAATAGTATATAATCAAACAAGACAACATTTATTGATATAATTTAAAATGATAAAAAATAAATTAATAAAACATTATTAAATAATGCATAAATATATAAAAATATATAGTACGTATTTATATATATATATATATATATATATATATTTTTTTTGTATTATTTTTCATTTAACTTTCTATTTAATCTATCTTGTTCAATTAATTTTAAACATTTTTCTGCTGTTTTTCTTCGAACTCTTTGATTTGATGCATCTCTTTCTGGTAATTTTATTTCTGTTTGATTTTTCATATTTTCATTTGCATTATATTTATCATTATTTTTTTCATTATGGTCATATTGATTAGCTGTTGAAGAATTATCAATTAAATTATTAATGTAATGATCTTGTTGTTTGTTTATGTCTAAATCTAATGGCACAGAATAATCATTTGTATAGCTTGTATTTTTATCTGTTAAAATATCAAATGAATTAATTTTATAATTTAAATGGTTATTTAAGTATTTGGAATTTTCTTTTATGTCTTCATTTATATATGAATTATTTTTATAAATATTGCATGCTTCGTTAAAGTAATAATTTTGAGTTTCTTCTAGAAGCTTTTCTTGTTGGATATTTATTAAATTATTTTCTTCTTGCTCACTATAGTTATTTACATTATACTTGTTATCAAATGTAGTTTTTAAATAATTTTGTTTAAAATATAATTGAGATGGTACATTCTCTTTATTGTTTTCGTCTTTTTCTTTTTCATTGTTAGTGTAAGAATATCTTTGTATGTTTTCCATGTTTAACATATTTTTATAAGTATTCATATCCTTTAAGTTGACTTCATTTAATAAATTATCTTGAAATTGATGATTTAATTCGTTTATTATATTGTTATTGTTATGATGAACATCTAAACTATTTGTCTCTGTATTAGCTTTAGTAAAATTCATTAAATTATCATTAGTTTTGTTGTAAAATTTAAAATAATCATTATAATTTTCGTAATTGTTATTACTAAAACTATTTGTTATGCTATTGTCATCATTATTATTGTTACTATTATTCATATCTACGTTTTTCTTTTTTAATAAATCAAATAAAAATGCATTTTGCTTCTGCTTAAAATTTATTAACTGAATCATCTTTTGATATTGTAACGTTTGTGATTTTAAGCGATAATTCAAATTATCATTTAATTTTATATGATATGATAGATCTTTTTCCAATTCTTTTTGTTTTTTTTCTAATTTTGATATCTCTCTGTTCATATTTTTATAAATATTATCATCTGAATCACTTTCTGCCTTAATAATGAAGCTTGAATTTTCATCATACTCATCGCATAAACTATCTTTCATTTGTGAACATAAAATATGTGGATTAATATCTAGTAATACAAAATTATTAGGAAAAAAATCTTGTTTAAAAGGAATATCAGTAAATCCTCCCCATGAATAAATAACATCATCTTTTGCAAAACATTTTAAGCAAGCTTTAGCAGTAAAATCATCAATATAATGAAATTTTTTTGTTTCAAAAGAATATAAAGCTGATGGCATTTTTTCTATATATTTATAATTATACTCTTCTCCTCCAATAATAAATATATAGTCATTAATATTAACTATGGAATGATAAGCTCTATTCTCATTTAAGCAATCTACATAAACAGGTAGCACCGACCAAATCCAATTATTTCCATTTTTTTGTAATAGAAATAATCTACTAGTATTTGTCTTATTTTTCATTTTTCCACCATATAAAATTAAATTATTTTTTTTTTTTTTTTTATCATACCATACACAAGTTGAATGAAAATATCTACCTAATGGATTAACAGATTTGTATTCTATTTCTTCCCATGTAAAGTAAAGAAATTCATTTTTTTTTTTTTGTTTTTTTTTACATTTTTCTATATTTAACACCCATAAATCATTTTTACAATACAAATTTTCTACATCACATATTTTCTCATTCCCACCAAATAAAATTATGTAAGGATATAAAAAGTCTAATGTATGGCCGTATCTACTATTTGGTTTCCTTCCTATAATTTTTATTTGTATCCATTTTCTTTTAATTTTTTCAGATATAGATTTGTTCGTAGCTTCATATATATCATTAGATGAAGATAAACTTTCATTAAACGCACTTTTTATTGGACTACATGAATTTTCGAATGGATTACTATAATTATCAGAAATGTCTTTATTATAAAAAAAGGATGAATGAGATAAACAAGATGAGTATGAAGATGAATAGGAAGAAGAATATGAGGTATTTGACGATGAACATAAATACGAGGAGGAATCGGAAGATGAAGAACATTTTGATTTCTTCTTATTAACGAAATTATTTAGTGATATATTATGTTCTTCAATTTCCTTATTATTTTTCATTTCTTTTTTTATTTTCTCATATTCTCCATTTAAAAGTCCCTTTTCTGGCATATCTACGCTAAAATTCTGATTCAATTCTACTGAATTAATACATTTTTCAGTTAAGTTGTTATCATCTTTTTGAATTAATTTTTCTGAATTTTCCTTTAAAATATCTTCTCTTATATTAATATCATCTTTTTTTATTTCTTTTTTCTTAAAATTTTTGAAATCTTTTTTAATAACTTTTTTATTTAAATTACTTATTTTATTTTCTTCTTTTAAATTATTGTAGTTGTATTCTCTATCATGTTCACTATTATAACATTTTTTATTTGTGTCACTAATTATGTTATGTTCTTCTTCATTATAACTATTATTTAATTTATTATTATCCTCATCTTCATCATAATTATTATCATCACCACTAGTTTCACAATTATCTTGTGTGCAATTTTTTTTAATTTGTTCGTCACATTTATCATCGAAAGAAATATAACTTAAATTCAAAGCATACAATGAATCATCAGCTAAAACATTATTTTCAACTTTTCCTCCATGAATAAATAAAAATACTCCATTTAATCCTAAATTGACAATGCAGGATGCGTGAAATGCTCTTGGAGATGGTACATTATATGTATGAATATTTTCCCAATTATTAAAATCATTCTTTTCTTCACATATATATATATCATTATATGTTTTATTTAAATAATTTTCAATGCTCATTGACTTAGAATTAATATAATTTTGTTCTTTTTCATCATATATACATCCTCTGTTCATTAAATATTCATTTGTATAATTTTTTACAAAATCATCTTCTATTGATCCTCCACCAAATATTATTATTTTATACTTGCCAAGAATATATCTATTTTTGTTGTTTTTAAAATTCTTCTGATTGTACTTTTCAATGTCCTCATTTTTTTTATTTTTCTTAAAGTCATTATTTTCAAATTCTTTTTCATCATTATCTTCATTTATTTTCTCATCTTCATTCTCTTTATCTTTTTTTAATTCATTAAAATTATTTATATGTTCATATTCTTCATTTCTTGCATCATTACATATATCATATGAATTTAATTCATAATAAAAATGTAATGAATGGCCTACTCTTCCTATTGGCTTATTTATATTTTCGTTTTTATTCCAATTATCATTACAGATTAATGTTAATGACATGCTTACATAAAGAAGAAAAAAAATGACGATTTTTTAATTTTTTCATAATTACATAAAAGTAAAATAAATCTTTATTTTTTTTTTTTTTTTTTTTCTTATCTCCTTTTTTCGCTTATTATTTTTTTTCTTTTTTCTTCTTGCTTTTTTTAAATAAAAAAAATAAAAAATTTGAAGTTTCAGATTAACAGATATAAAAAAGTTCAAAGAATATAAGTTTAAGTATTTTTTAACAGTAAAATAAAATCTAAAACAAAAATGAAATAATTTATATAAAAGCAATTTAAAAAAAAAAAAAAAAAAAAGTTAAATTATGAAGAGAAATATAATTTTTAAATTTAACAATTCTTTTTGTTTCTAAAAAAAAAAAATTTTTAATTAAAGATAAATGCAATTTAAAATTTTTTATTAATTTATTGGTATCTCTTTTTAAATGTTATAAATTATAAAAAAAAAAAAAAAAAAAAAAAAAAAATGAAATTAATTAACGATTAAATATTGTACTATATATATTTATATAAACTTGTAAACATTAGAAAATGATATTTTTATATTAAATCAGAAAACTACTTTTTATATTTAAAGTATATTTGATCAAATATAATTTATAAATAATAAAAAGAAATAATTTTAACTGTATTTAAGTACATGAAAACTGATGATATATTTTTTTGATTTTCTTATGAACATATAGCTTTTTGAAGTATATCTCAATTTTAACTGTTTATTTTATTTTATAAGAGAAAGAAGAAATAAAGGAGAATAATAGAAATAAGAACATCTCAAATATAAATATTTCCTTTTAGTTTTTATTTACCTAAACTATATGAATTTAAATTTTTGCATAAAATAGAAGAAAAAATATAAAAAAATAAAAAATATAATAAAATAAAAACGAAGAAAAATAGAATAAATATAAATGTAGAAGTTTTATATATTAAAGTGAAAATTAATTTTTTAAAGATGTTAAATTAACACATATTAGTAGTTAATTTTTTATATTCGTTTAATCTTATATTTTTTTAAGTTTTTAAGTACTTATAAAAAAAAAAAATGAAAGCTTTAAAAAATTATTGAAAGAAAAAAATAAAAGTTTTAGATATTTATAATATATATATTTAAATTTAGTGTATATTAGTGATAAAATGATATTTAAAAATACAAATGGGAGTATTACTAAGGATATCATTTCATAGAGATTTAAATTTAAAAATGTATTGTTAAATATATAGTTAAAAATTTAAATTAAAAAAAATAATACATAAATAAAAAATAGTAAAACTGATGCATATAAATTTAATAATATAAAAATTGAAAGTTTCATAATAAATATATTTTAGAAATTTAAAAGAAAAGCATATATGAAAAAAATTATAAAAAAGCAGAATAAAATTAAGACATTATTTTAAATAACTAATTTCTTTATCAAAAATAAGTATTTTGCTTTTAAAAGAAAGTTTTTAATTCTTTTTTTTTTTATTGCAAAATTTTCTATCGAATTTTTTAAAATTTTAAATAGTATAAAAATTAAAATATAATGTAAAAAAAAAAAAAGGGTTTTATATAGAGACGGATATATATTAGATATATAAAATTAATAGGAATGTTTTTTTTTAAGCACCATTAAGATGCACTTTTTGCTGCAATTTTTTTGTACATATAAATTTAATTAATAAACAACATAAAATTAAATGCTTGTGTTATCAAATAAAAGTATTTTAATTGTACTTAAATTTTTTTTTTTTTTAAATACTTTTGTTATTTTTTTTAAAATGGTTTTTTTTTTTTTTGTTTTTTATCACAAATTAATTTGTACATAAATATTTAATAGACAAAATAACATATGTGAACAAATATTCATTCATATATAAATATATATATGTATGTTTATACTAAAAAATTATAGAAAATTTTTGTTAAAAATACAAAAACTCCTTTTTATTAATAAAGCATTAATAGTACTGAATAATTTATAAAAAATAAAGAAAAATACAACTTATCAAAAAAAAAAAAAAAAAAAAAAAAAAAAAAGCGAAAAAAAGAAAAAAAAAAAAAACATATATTATTTCAATTTTATACCGCTGCAATCTAAAATTTAAATCATAATTAAATATTTGAATATGTTTTAATAATACTTACAAAATATCTATTATGCTGAAAGTTTATTATATTCCATATATGAAGCTCATCCTCATAAGGAGCATATTCACCTGTAAAAGAATAAAATAAAAAGGTGTATATATAAGAAAATTAATAGATAAAATAAATACATATATATAGAAATATTTTATCTTATAATTTATCATAAAAAAAAAAAAAAAAAAATTGTGTATATATTAAAAATAAGAATAAGCTTGAAAAAAATTAACAAAATAAATATAAAATTACCAAAAAGCATTAAACCTTTGTTATCATACTCACTGTTTGGATTTAATAACCATCCTTTGAAAAATAAAAAGAAGAAACGTATTAAAATAAATATGATATATATAACCAATAAATTATAAAATAATAATAATATAAAGAAGGATGTAATAACATAAAAAATATAATTAAAAAAAATAAAAAGGAGATATTCACATAAAAGATAATTTTATTTAACATTTTGTAATACCTGCGTAAAATTCTCTTATTTTTAAAGTATAATAAATGGATAGTTTTGATGGTGAAATAAAGATAAAATTAAGAAAACCATTGTTTTCATATTGAACTATGTAATAAAAATTTGTTTGTTCATCATAAGCTAAATGTATAGGAGGAAATATAGAAAACTCTTGTTTATCTTTTATATAATCTACATATTCAATTATATCTTTATTTTCTGATGTCATATCTATTATAGTTAAATAATAATTTATTTTAAATTTCAATGTATTATTATTATATTCTTTGTTTCTATACTTATTAAAAGTATTTTTTTCTTCATTTTCTTCACTTTCGTTAATCTCTTTATTAAATTTTGTCTCATTTCCTAAAACTTCGTTATTTAAATTTTTATCATTAATATGTATGTACTGTTGTACAAATAATAATCTAAAATTAACTGAATCTATTGTTGCAATTTGATTTAATAAATTACCACAAAAATGAGTTATAATTTCCACATCTTTAGTTTTCGTATTTTCATTAAAATTTTCATTTTTTAATAAATTAAATTGAATAAACTCATAAACACTTGGTATCTTAGAACTAGCTAAAAGAACGTAACAATAATTATTGATTAAAAATATATTAGGGTTTTTCATATTATTCTCATGACAAGAATATGACAAATTTACAAAGTTATAGCATTTATTTTTTTTTAATTGAACAAATACAAAAAAGCAAAAACTATTTTGTTCATCACAACTTTGAATTTTCATATTCTTGAATAAGGATTTATCTACTAATACAGTATTAATTTTTGCACAAAAGTCATCTGAATAACTTTTGTTAATACATATGGAGTTTTTATTTTTATTATCTGATAATGCAAAAATGTAGAGGTTATTATTTTTTTCATTTATTTTAATAGATAAATTTTCAAAATTATGTAAGATATTATCATACCCTTCTACATGTAAAGTGTAATCATTAATGTATGTTATACTAGGCAAAATTTTCCTATTTGGAGATATATATATTGCAGAATCATATTTTAAAAAGCTAATTTCTCTTATATAGCCAAATGAAAAATCCTTATTATAATTTTCATTTTGCCTTAAGTTAACTTTACTTCTATTTTTTATCTCATCTTCTTCCTTTTGTTTTCGTAAAATTAATAAAAGGATAAACAAAAATAAAAGGGTTATAAAACATTTGCAACATGATCTTCGCTCACTCTCAAGTCTTTCGCCACTCTGAGATATCATAATAAAACATTTATGTAAACCTATACAAATTTATACAAATTATAAAAAAAAAAAAAAAAAAAAAAAAAAAAAGAAAATGAAAGAAATTAATAAAAATCATTTAAAAAACAAAAGATAGATTTAAAAAGATTCTTCATTTTTCCTTATTTTTGTATGTAAATATAAGTATATAAAAAACAGAAAAAATAAGGAAAAAAAAATGAAAATATTTCTCATATAAAAATCCCTTTTAACAAAATTATGAAAAGAATCATATTTTATATTTACTAACAATTTTCATGCTATTTAAAAAAGAACCTTATAATATAATTTTACATTTTTCTTTTAATTTTATTTATATATATGCATACATATATTTATATAACTAATTCATTTATTTTATATTTTATTAAAAAAATATTAACTTTTATTTTTCTTTTAATTTTAAACATGAAAAATTGATATGAAAAAACATGAAATTATTAATTCATATAGATAATTTAAATATATTTAATTTTATTTCACTTAAAAAAAAAAAAAAAAGAAAAAAATATTTTAATTTTATAATTTGTATTAAGAATTAATTTACCTAAATTATTTTATTTCATTTTATTTTAATTTATTTAATTTTATTTATTTTTTCTTTTTTATGCTAATATAAAAATCTACACTTTTAGCAAAAATAATATAAAAATAGCATTTTTTTTTTTTTTTTTTTGCCTTTTAAACAAATATATATATGTCTGTATAAATTAATAATATTATGAATGTACTTTTTCTGGCTAATATATTTATGCCATAATGAAATATGTCTTATTATAACCATTTTTTTTTTTTTTAATTAATTATTATTAATAAATAAATCAAAATAAAAACAAAAAGTAATGGTAAAATAAAAAAAATAAAATGAAAAAAATTCTATTATTACACCACTTTATTACAACTTTTACATTTTAATATTTCTATGTATTAATTAAAAAACTCTAATTAATAAAATATATATATTTAAACATATATATATCTTATTATATTAATAAATGAAATATTTCAAGTAGAATTATGAAGTATATATATAATATTTTTTATATTCTGAAATAAAATCTTTATTACATTCTAACTTTATTATCAACCAAATTGATTATAAGACATTATTCATACAATTTTAATAATATTCTATAAATAATATATGAACGTTTTTAATAATTTATTTTCCTATTTTCCAATTTTATAATTAAATAGGAAGATACATTTTTTTGTATTTTCACTTATATTTATAAAATTTTTATATAAGTATTACTATTAGTTCTAATTAAAAGAAAAAAGTGTGTTCCTTTTTCTATAAATATAAAAGAAATTAATAAAAATTTCTTATTAAACATTTTTTATTGTGCTCCAATTTATATATTAAAGAAAAAAAAGAAATATAATAATAATATTAATGAAGAAAAAACAAATTTTTACTTTTTTTTTTTTTTTTTTTTTAATTAATTAAATATTTTTTAAAATTTGTCAGTGAGAAGATTAAGCCATCATATAATTAAAAGTTTAACTTTTTCAAAGAAACAAATTAAACTTTTGGCCCTTTATCAGTATATAATTTTCATCATTCAAAATTTAAAAAATATTTAAATAAGAATTTTTTAAGTTATAATTTAATTTACTTTAAAATATATATTCAAAGATATATAATAAAAAAACATATTTTTTTATAAAAATAATCTCGTATTGTAATAAGGTTATTTAACATTTTATTAATAGATTTATATTTAAAAAACAATATAATGGATTTCACATATACAAATTCTACTTACTAATGAAAATATAAAAATTACGTAAAATAAAATTTTCTTTTAAAAAATTTTGTATAAAAAATAAAGAAAAAGGATAAAAAATTTACCAAAATCAATTATATTTATGCTGAAGAAAGATTTAAAGAATGATAAAACAAAATAAAAAAAGTAATATGTATATATATATAATAATATAATGAACAAAAAACAATTTTATATTTACGTAAACTTTTTTCATTTAAAAAATAAAGAAAAATAATATTTTATATTACAATTATATAAAAAAATATCTTTAAATTAATATTTCAAAAGTTATTTTTATATATCATACATGCTAATACTATTAAGCTAATACACTTTAAGACGAAGTCTTATATAAATTTTTACCTTATATAAATATGTAGTTAATAATTTTTAAACTTCATTATTTATTTCTACTTTTTTCCTATTTTATAATGAAGAAAATAATACTGTACAAAAAATAAGAAAAATTGCAACGAATTTAAAATTTAAGAAATTTAAAAAAATATTTTAAAAAATTGTTTTTAATATAACTATTTTATTTATTATAAAATTATCAGTGGTAGTATTCATTTAATTCGTAAAAATTGTTTGTTTCTAAAATGATACATAACATCAAAAAATTAATTTAAATTATTGTATATTTTCATTAATTAAAAGATTCAAAAGTGTAAATATTACTTATAAATAGAAAAACTTCTTACGAAAGAAAATTTAACATATATGAAATTTAAATATATAATACATTAATAATTTATACAAAATAAAACAACTTTTTTTTTTTTCTTTTTATAAATAATATATTATTTTTATTCTTATGCTTGTATATTGAATTTTTTTATTAAAAATTACATATAACTCGTTTCCCAAAAATATGTTTTCTTATAGCCTTACACTTCTTTGGAAATTTTAAGAATTTTTTCATTCTTAACCTACTTAAAATTAAGTATAATTTTAAAATAAAATAAAATTAAATAAAATAAAACTAATTCTTTAAAGGGTTTTCAATTATAAAAATATTAAATATTATATTCTCCAATTTTTTTTTTTTTTTTCTTATTCATTATTATGATACAAAGTTCACATTTTTTTAAATATTACAAGAATTTTGTTATATTATAGAATTATTTTAAAATTCAATAAAAAAACAAAATAAAAGACTTTAAAATTATAAACTGTTTTCTTTTTTCTAATATACATATTTTTTTTTACCTTTTGAATATATAAGTTGATAAATACAGTCTTATTAAATATTAATTTTTATTTTTTTACTATTTTTGTTTTTAATTATATGTTTTTATTAATTAGTTTTTCATTTTTTTGGAAAATTTGTTATTATGTAAATACTTATAAATAATACTTAATATTTGAAGTTTATTTTTTTTATATTTACAACAAAGTTTTCCATGTTTATATGAAACATATGTGACAACATATATATGAACACTAATTTTTTTTTTTTTTTTTTAGATTTAAGTAGAATGTATCCAATAAAATAGAATTATTGTAATATTTTATTTTTAAAATGTCTTTTAATATTATAAAAAAACAAATACAATTTAACATAAGAAACAAAAGAAATTTCAAAGAAATCAATTTAAATTTTTTGACGAAAATAATATATTTTCTAGGAATATTTCTTCGTGTTATAATATATTACTACGGATTATGGCAGGATAATAACTTAAATGTTAAATTTACAGATGTTGATTATTATGTTTTTTCTGATGCTGCAAAATATGTATTGAGTAAAAAATCTCCTTACGAAAGATATACCTATAGATATACTCCGATATTAGCTTACTTAATGCTGCCAAATTTTTTTATTCATTTTTCCTTTGGAAAAATTTTGTTTTCATTAATGGATTTTTTTGTTAGTATTATTATTATTAAAATTATAAAAATAAAATATCCTGAATGTAAAAATTATGTTTATTATGTTACATTATGGATTTTAAATCCTTTAGTTATTGTTATTTCCAGTAGAGGTAATGCTGATTGTATACCTTGCTTATTAGTTCTAATTACAGTGCTTTGTATTTACCAAAAAAAAATTCTTTTATCTTCTATTTTTTATGGGTTGGCTGTTAACTTTAAAATATATCCTATTATTTATTCTCTTCCATTAATGCTATATTTAAATAGGAACTATTTATCTAGAAACAAAGTTTTATATTTGAAAAAAAAAAATGATTCGTTTCTAAATTGCATTATAAATGTATATTATATTATATTTCAGTTTTTTTCTGAACTATTTAAATTAAACTATAATCAATTAGTGTTTTCTTTATGCAGCTTTTTCACTTTTTTAACATTAAATATAATTTTTTATTTAGTGTAAGAATTTTTTCTTTCTTTCTTTTTATATATATATATATATATTTTTATATATTTTTTCTTTTTATGCTAGGTATGGATATGAATTTTTATATGAGTCTTATATTTATCATTTAGTTAGACGTGATCACAGACATAATTTTTCCCTTTTTTTTTATATAATGTACTTAAGTATTGAAAAAAACTCAAAGGTAATAATATAAAAAATATATTTAATTTTTATTATTTTTTTAACCAACAAAATGAAATTGCCTACTGCTCATTAAGGGTGATACTTATTTTTTAATAATTTTATTTATTTGTTAAATATGTTTTTCTTAAGAAATAAATGTATTGTTTTTTTTTCTTTTTTTTTATTAGAGTATTTTAATATGAAATTTTTTTTTTATAGATTATACCCCTAATAACGTTTATACCTCAAATGATTTTAGTAGGGCTAGTTGGTTTTAAATATGCAAAAACAAATTTGGATTTAGCCATGTTTTTACAAGTAAACAATGCTTAAAAGTTAACTTATTCTTTTATGTTACAACATTCAAATAAAAATAAATTTAATATTTTTGTAAGACAATGATGTTCATTGCTATGAATAAAGTTTGCACGTCTCAGGTAAATATAAGCGAAACTTTTATTAATATATCAACTTCAAAGAAATATACAAATTTAATTTACCTATTAGTATATATATTAATTATATTTTGTTACAATCCAAATAAATTATATATTTCATCTTGTTTATATATTAAAAAAGAAAAATTTCATTTATTAAAACATATTTTGCAATATATTTAAACAGGAAGAAATAATTTATTGATAAATTAACTATTTACATATAACTCTTATTTTTTGAATTGAAAAAAAAATATTGAAAGAATAAAAAATTCCCTATAATATACTTTACATTTTTTTCAATTTTTGTAAATTTCATTAAAACATTAAATATTTAATTATTTTTCAGTATTTTATATGGTGTATTCCGTTTATACCAATTATTCTTTGTTCCATAACTTTGGATAAGGTAATTAATATATGAATAAGAAATGTAAACAAATAAATTTACACATTAAAAAAAAACATTCAATATTTATAAATTTAGTTATTAAATAAACATATAATTTTATTTTCCTATTGAACATTTACAGAAAAATATTATTATTATTACTTTTGCAATCATTTTTTTTACGTTTACAAAGGTTAAAAAAAAAATCAAGTTTTTATTTTTTCTCTTTTTTTTTTTTTAAATCTAAATACATAGAATATATTAAATTTTTTATTTTTTCATATATATAGAGTTATTGGCTTTTATGGGCTTATTTTCTTGAATTTAAAGGATATAATTCATTTTTGCAAGTATAAATTTGATTTCTTTTTAATATCTTTAAAATTATAAAAATACAATTTTAAAATTATAAAAAATGCCTCATATTGTCTTTATTTTATTTTTAACCCTATATAAAAATTTATAGTTATTTTTTTCATCTATTTTATTTGTCATATCTGAAATGACTTTATGTTGGGCTTTCATGTATATGCATCATAGGGAAGAAAAGATAAAAAAAAATGAATAAAATAATATTTTTTATTAAATATATATATATATATTTTTTTTTTTTTCTCATTATAAAAAAAAAATAATACACACTTTTAATATACAAAAAATTAAGATTTTTATTTAAAAACTTGTTTAATAAATCTTAAAAATGTAAGTTTTCAAATTTATTCATATTTTACCTTTTAACAATACAATTTAATTCCTACAAAATATATATGAAGTGAGTAAATAAGCTATTCTTAACATATCATATTCCATTATAAAAATAATACTTTTTAATAATATTATATTATACAATTTTATTCTAGCCGAATAAGACTTAAAAAAAAAAAAAAAAAAAAAAAAAAAACCTTACACTCTCAATAATTTACTTATATTTTTACAGAGCAGTAAAGCTTTATATATATTCTACATAAATAAAAAAAAAAAAAAAAATATTAAAAAAAGGATATATTAAAATTTTTAAATTTTTATTCTTTTTGATTAAAACATTTTATTTTCCTATATAAATATTTTGTGGTAATAACTTACAAGTAAACATTACAGATTTATTCTGAACAAATAATATTTTGTCAGGTATTATTAACATTTTAAAAAAGGAATTTATGCATGTTTGTTTTTTTTTGTTTTTTTTTTTTTTTTTTTAATTCTTTTATCCTTTCTAATTCATATTCTTTTTAATGTATTTATATTTTTTATGAATACAAAGTTAAACAAAATTTTCATTTTTAAACCTTAAAAAAAATATTGAGCTTTTTTTTTTTTCTTAATCTATTTTTATAACCTTATTTTATGTTTTTTTATGTAACTCTATTAAATGCTACAACGTTGCACACGTAATCCATTCTTATATTTTTTATGAAATAAATAAATTAAAATAAAAAAGAATTATATAATTGTATGTATTTTAATGCTTTTTAAATTTCCAATGCATAACAATAAAAAAGTATTTTAAAGTTTATTTTTATTTTAAAAGATTTTTAATTTAAATTCAATTTTATGTGAAAATTTTGTTTTACTATATTAAGTAAAATTAAATAAAAAGAATCATTTTGAGTTATTAAATAACAATTTTGTATTTTCTAAATTCTATCATTCTTATAATATATTTATTATAATTAAGGAAAGTTAAGAAGGAAAATAAATATTAAATGTTTAGATAGACATTGCGTAAATATAAAATTAAATATTTATCTTTTTTTTTTTTTTTCTTTTCTTTTTTTTTCTTTTTTTGTCTCTTAAATATATAATTTAGTTTAATTTAATTTATGTTTTATGGAAGTTATAAACTTTCAAAGATGTCATTTCAAAGATGCACAATTTTTTTTTTTGAAAATTGAATGTAAATAATAATTCTAAATTTTTTGTTGTAGAGTGTAATTGTATCTTATTTTATTCTTTATATTTGCATGCATCTATTATTTTTCATGAAATTTTTTTTTTTGTATACTTTTTTTCTACAAAATGGATTTAAATAAAAACAATGATAGAAATAATATAAATTTGGGTGAATTACAAGTTGAGTCTTCCTCTAAAGAGGAAGCAATTAGAGTTTGCACTCGTATAAGGCCTCTATTTGAAAAAGAAGTATGTCTTAGAATATTTATTAATATTTTTTCAAATATTATTGTACCTATTTCTTAAATTAATCGTTGTTTATGTAAACATTAACATTTTTATTTTAGGTTAATAGAGGACACTTAAAAGCTTGGAAAATGAATAAAACTGATATGCATTTAATAGTTGAACCACCTTCTATGACAGAAATGTTAAATGCAAGAGATCCCAAAAAAGGAAATAAAAAAGAATTTAAAAAAAATGTGGAAAAAACGGAGGGACAAAAAGCTGTAATACAACGCTATTATGCTTTTGATAGATGTTTTGATGATTTTGGTAATTTAGAAAATGATACATTAAAAAAAACAAATATTGCAACAAATTTTTTATTTTTACTTATTTATGCCTTTTAGATTTTTGAAATTTATTCAATAATGATTATTTATTATAATAGTTTATAAAATTATGTTTTATTTATTTTTTATTTAGTTGGCAATGAGGAAGTATACAAACATCTAGCAAGAGATATTATACTTGATACATTTAAAGGTATAAATGGCTGTATTCTTGCATATGGTCAAACAGGATCGGGAAAGACACATAGTGTTATGGGTGTTCCTTCTGACCCAGGTATGTTACCTAGATCATTGGCAGAATTTTTTAATGGTATTGAAAATCCGTCAACATTAAATGAAGATAATGCAAGTATCAAGAGTGGTAATTCCAATAATAACACAAAAGAATTTTTAATGAGTGTGACATATTTGGAAGTTTATATGGAACGAGTAAATGATTTACTACAAGAAGGATACAGAGGAGTAGCCGAGAACTTAGATGTAAAAGAGGATCCAAAAAGAGGATTTGTTGTTATAGGAATCCAGGAAGAAACTGTAACATCAATAGATGAAGTTATGCTTCTAGTTGCGAAGGCTGAACAGAGAAGACATATCGCTCAAACAAACTTTAATGAAACATCTTCTAGATCACATACAATTTTTACTGTTATTTTAGAATCTAATCAAGTTTTAAATGATGGCACTTCTATAAATAAAAGAGGTGAACTAAAAATAGTAGATCTAGCAGGTAACGAAAGAGCTGGGAGGGCTTCTGAAGGGATAGAAAATGCAAAAACTGTTTTGGAAGAAGGTAAAGCAATAAATAAAAGTTTATTTGTATTAAGCGAAGTTATTTCAAAATTATCTAAAAGAGCTCAAGCTATAGCATTTGGTGACGAAAAAAAAATTAAAAAAATTCAAGAAGATTTAGTTTTCATTCCATGGAGAGATTCAAAATTAACAAGAATTTTAAGTAAAAGTTTAGGGGGAAATTGCCGAGCATCAGTTATTGTTGCTGTTCATCCTTCTCATTTATATTTGGATACATCTTTTTCGACTTTACGCTTTGCTTTAAAATGCAAAACAATAAAAAAAAAAATAGAGGTGAATTATTTATCTCCAGAACAATCTGTTATTATGCAACAAAAAGAATTAATAGCTAAATTACAAAATCAATTAAAGCATCTAGCAACATCTAAAAATGCTGATGTGCAACTTCTTGGAAGTGATAAAAAATATATCCCTAGAAGACCAGAAGATGATGAAAAAATAATGGCTTTAAAAAATGAATTAGAGGAAAAAGTTAAAAAATTTCAGAATTTTATCTTAAAATCCGAGTTTCATGTAAACTCAAGCAATTATAGAACACTCAGATCAATGGATGCAAACACTGAAAAATCACTAAAATATTCAATGACTATTTCTCCCAATATGAAAAATGAACTTAATTGGCTAAGGTCTTTTGACACACATGAATATGATACTAAATGGGATGGAATAGAAAAGTATGAAGATCATAATGTTCAAGAAAAACTCAATATATCAAAAGCTATGGATTACCTGAAAAATAAGTCCCCATATAAATTAAATTCTTCAGAAATTAGCGATGTTTTATCAAGTGATTTTCAAAAAGATGATTCCATTTCATTGAATTATTATAATGAATTGGATGAATTAGAAAAATTAGAAAAAATTGAATTAAATAAAAAACAAAAAAAGGAAAAAGGAGACATAAATAATAAAATGTCTAATAAAGAATTTGATGAGTTAAGTAAGTTAAGTTTTGTGAAAAATTCTCATTTAAATGAAAACAAAGATGTTGAGTTTAAAGGAAAAGAGTTTAACAAAATCAAGAAGAAAAAAGTTAAAAGAAACAATTATTTTTATAATAAAGATACCGAAGCATTTAAGAAATATGACAAATTAAAAATGAAAAATAAATCTACTAAATTAAAAAAAAAAAAAAATAATAAATATAAAAAAGAAACTCTTGACAAACATATTATGCAAAAAAAAATAGAAGAAGAAACGGATCATGTATCTTTATCTACTTATAAAGATGAAGACAGTATAGTAAAAGAAGCTGACAAAAAACCATATGATACTAACTTTCCAGAGATTGATTCTGCAAATTTATCTCAACCGAAAGAACAAGATAATAATAAAAAACGAACATCTATAATTTCAAACCTTAAAGAAAAAATTGAAGATGATTTAAAAAAAAAAAAAAAGATTATTAGTAGAAATGTGGAACTTAATAAACAAATAAAATTTATTATGAAATTAATGCAGAAGGTAGGATTATCTGCAATTTTAACTGGAACTGTTCCTCCTGGTAGAAATATAGAAAATGTTTTAAAATTACAAGAAAACTTAAAAGATGACTTAAAGTTGTACGAAAATAAGATATTACTTGATATGCCGAATGGAAAAACTAATAATGAAGATATTAGCAATGATTATTCAAAAAATGGCAATAATATTGAATCTTTATTAAATTATACATTAGGTGAAGGAAATGAAGCGGAATATGCTGAAACTTTATCACATATTTTTATAAATGAGATGTTTTTTACTTTTATACTTAGAATACAACAAAAAAATTCTAATGATGAATCTTTAAAAAACATAGGTGATTTACTAAAAAATGAAGATAATTCTTATGATTTATCTAAAAAAGCATTAGAAGATATTCTAGGATGTTCAATTTCAAATAAAGTAGATAAACTTGAAGAAATAAATCCCATAAAAAGCATAAAAGATGAAAAAAGCAAAAAAGTAATCGATTCAATTTTAAATATGCTCACACCTTGGGAACAAAAAATTTTAGCACTACTATATGAACAACAAAAAATGAGACAAAATATTCAGAAGATGAAAGAAAAATTTTCACAGCGCATCCAAAATATTAATGTTTTTATCAAAAAAATATTAATTGACAAGATTGAAGTTGAAAAGCATCTTAATCGAGTCTTAAAAACAATAGAAGAGTATAAAAACGACTTGATAAAAACATCTGATGTTGATTCTAATTTTAAATTTGCTGGTTTAATGAAAAAACTTGAAGAAATGTCCATTTTATTGGCAGAAAAAACTAGAGACTTCAATGTGCTGGCTGATTTTCATTTAAATTTAAGGAAATCAGTTGAACAGAAGGACAATTTAATTAAAGAATTACAAGAAGAAAACAAATTATTTTACCTTGTTCCAAAGTACAATGAATTACTACAGGAATTAAATGAACAAAATAACGAGGAAGCCAAAGAATTGAAAAAAGAATTTCTCTTAATTTATGGGCGTTTAATGTTGGTCAAAAAAAAGTTACATGAAAAAGATGTTATAGAGAATGATATGAGAAATTTAAACATAAAAATATACACAGAGCTAATAGAATCAATATCTGTTATAAAGAATTTGGAATCTCAAAATAAATTCTTAGAATTTAAATTGAATATGGAAAATAAAAGAAAAATGGAAAAAATTAAAAAATTATTAAATGAAAAGCAAAGGCTTAACAAAGTAATAAATGAAATGGAAAAATTGCTTGAAAATGCAAATATAGATACCAGTGGCTTGAAAGATGAAATATTTGCAAATTATAATTCGTCCAACACTAACACGGAATGTGAAAACGATGAATATGAAAAAGAACTAAAAGAAGATGTAGATAAGAGAAAAAAAAAAACAAAAAATGAAAATTTAAAGAAAAAAAAAGAATTAAATGATAATATTCATAAAGAAAAAATTCAAAAAAAAAAAAAAGCTAAAAAAGAGAATTTTGTTAACTCCACAGAAAAAAATGAAAAAAAAATCATTAAAAAAGTTGATTTAAATTTGAGAAAAAAAAATATAAAAATTCCCACAGAAAAAAATAATTTAAATGAAGATAATTTAAATTTAAATTCAAATTTATCCGAAAAGAAAAGCAAACTAGCAACTAATAAAAAAAAAACAATTTTGGATGATGAAATTAAAAAAAAAAACATCATAAAAAAAAAAAAAATAGATGGTTATTTAGAAAAAGAAAAAAATATAAATGAACTCAAATTAAATATTAATGTTAAAAAAAAAAAAAAAGGCTTAACAGGAAAAAAAATGAATCTATTAGAAAATTTAAAAAAAGAGAGTAAAAAGGAAAATATGGAAACTGTATTGTCAGAAGGTAATGAAAATCTTTTAGACAGTAATGATAATTCTGCTACTGACTATGAAACTAACGAAGTCCGTCACATACTAAATATGGAAATTGAAAAAAAAGCAACTAGATGAAACTTCAATTTTTAGTCAACTTACTAATATATTTTAGTTTACAATAAAAAATTTAAAAACTTTAATGAAAAAAAAAAAAATGTAATAATTTATGTAATAATAAAAATTACCAAAAAAAAAGTCTAAAATATAAAATGAAAAAATATATGTAGCATATATATAATGAATAAAAAATTCACAATATTATGAATCAAAATTTATAAGATACATATAAAAAAAAAGGATTTTTTTTTTTAATGTTATTCTTTAATAAATGGAACTTATTAATATAAAAGTGTGTTCAACTTTATTTTTGACTCTATACTCATTTTTTTTTTGTATATTCTCTGCATACTATATTCTAAATAATATATATTGTGTATATTTTTTTTTTTTTTTTTATTTTCTTATATTTTTACATTTTGTTATTCTCCTTATTTACAGTGAACCACTTTTTTTTTTTTTTTAAACAACATGTTATTGTTCTACGCTTATTTTTCTTATTCTATTTAATATAATTTTTTTTTTTAAGTTGGAAAACATATTTTTTACATCTTTTATAATTATTTTAAGTAATTTTCGTTATACGTAACATACGTGAATCATGTTTAAAAATACAAAAGTTTTTAAAAAATTATTTCATTTATAATTTAATACTTATTTTCTATGAAAATATTTATGAAAATAGTTATAACCAGTTTAAATGTTAATTTTGTTTTCATTAATGTATTCAGCGTAAATTAAGCGTCTCTAAACAATGTTCAAGCTTTTTTCTTTTTTTTTATTCATTTACATTAGTGTAACGCTATCTAGCTGGAACTATTTATATAACAAAAAAGAAAAAAAAAAAAAAAAAAAAAAAAAAAAAAAAAAAGCTAAATATAAATTGTTCCTTTGATAAAAATAAAAATTTTAAGTAAAATATGTTTTCCATATTATTTTATTTTTATGTTTTTTTTTTTTTTTTTTTCATTTCTTAAAATTATATTAAATAACATTTCCTATTTTTGTTAAAAAAGTAAAAATATTTATCCTTTTTTTTTCTTTATATATTTTCTTATACACACCTTTTAATATTGAAAAATGGTTCTATTAAATGCAACAAAGCCAAAAATTATTATTGAATCTTCTGGAATACCAATAATGCAAGAGAGTATACCTGGTATACTTTCTTCTCCAGTAGAAAAGACCGTTTATAGTAGTTATGCATATAACGTTCCTGTTTCGCAGCCAAAGGTTATATCTCATAATGAATATAAATATAATTCGACAAAGTACACAACCAAATCACATAATATGCAAAAGCCTGAATTCATTAATACTTTTGAGCCACATAATGGATTCTATTATGAAGGAATTCCATTAAAAACTAATACAAATAATATCTTCGAAATAACTCCATCACAAGAAGAATTAAATAAAATAACATATAACCCTAGAATTGAAATTTATTCTACATCAGCTTTTGCAGTAGTAATGATGGATATCCCAGGGACTTCTAAAGAAAATTTAAATGTTGAGCTAGAAAAAGGATTATTAAAAATTTATGGACGTAAAAATAAACCTAAGATTGAAGAATTAGAAAAAGAAAATGAATATCATACAAAAATTATAGAAAGGTTAAATGAATATTATTTTTGCAAGATTTTTCAAATGCCTCCTGCATTTTCTGAAGGACAAAGTATATCATGTAAATTAAATGATGGAGAACTCGTGATTAAAATTTTAGCAAATGAATTGAAAACACAGAAGAAGGTTATTGATATACAGTCATAGTTAATAAATGTGTAAATTTAAATAAAAAAAAAATATATAAGTCTTTCTAATATTCTATTTATCTTCTTTTTTAATATGCTTTTTTCTATATATTTTATTATTTTTTTGTTTATTGAAATGCACTTTGCATTTTATAATTTTCATATTATCAGTGAAAATTATTAAAATTACACTTAAAACGCTTTTTTAATTATATTTGTTTTTATTTTTTTTCAATTGTAAGTTATTTTAATGTTTATCTAATATCTTCTTTATTAATTAATATTTAAAATTTTTAAATACAACATAAAAAAAAAAAAAAAAATTCAAAGATATAATTCGAAAGTTTTTTAATAATAAGGATAATTTAAAATGTATTGTTTAAATTGATTTCCAAAATAATCTTGTATTTTAAAAACATGAAAAATAAAAATAAAGCAAATACATATATATATATATATATATATATATATGCATATGTATTCTTTATTTTATATTGGACTTTTATCCATCTCATATTTAATAATAAACAAATTAAAATTTTTTGATAACTCTTTTTATAAATCTTTTTCAGAATTGTTTATTTCTAACATTTTCATTATTTAATTGATTATATAGAATAATTCTTTTTTTTAATAAATTAAATTTTTTTTTAATTAATTTTTGATTTTCGTTACACATATATATATTTTTTTTTAATGATAATTTTTTTTCATTTATACTTTTAATTGTATTTTGGAAATTTGAATTTACTTCTATTAAATTAATTACTTTATATGTCATTATTTTAATTATTTTATTTTTTATTTTTTTAAATTTTTTTTCGTAATATGAATTCAGGCCTAAAAAGAAGTAATAACATTTTAAAATATTTTCTAAAGAAGCAATTTGATCCTTTGAGTTAAAAGAATTATTTATATTTATATTATTTTTTTTTAAATAATAATCTTTCACATCTATGTAATCATTTTTAATTTTTATTAGTTTTTTTATTAGATCAATACATTCTACATTTTCATACTTTTCCTTATCACTAGTTAATATATAATTCTTCATATCATTTATAATTGTGTTCGAATCTATTTGATTATTATCTAATGTTTTTAATTTTAATATTATTTCTTTACTTAACTTATTTTTATCTTTTTTTATATCTTTAAATTTATCGTTAATAATGCTCTTATCTAATATAACAAATGTATCTCTTAGTAATTGTATAGAGGAATCACAATTTTCATTTGGAAATTTATTCGTAAAATCTTTAAATTCATAATTTAAATTAGAAGGAATTATATCATCCCCATTAAATTCTTTATTTGTTTCATTTTTATTATTATACATATATGTGTATTCGCCAATATTATAATTTTCTTTTGAATTATATTTGTAACTTTCATTTTCCATATTTTCATCTTTTGTATTTTCTTTACAACTATTTATTTCGTAGTTTATTCTATCCATTCCTGAGTTATCGTTATCTTCATACCCACCATTTGAACTGTCATTACTTTCTTCATATTTTCTATTCTTATATTCGTTGATTTCATTATTATAATTATACCATTTTTTACTTGATGTTTTAAAGAGTTTTTCAGTACAGTTTGTGTATGTTTTATCATTTATTTTACAAATTGTATTGTTCACATTATTTTTCTTAGTAGTTCCACTATAATTTAAAATATTAAAGATATCCAAATTTCTATTATAATATATAGAGTTTTTTTTAAATAACTCACTAATATAATCCCTATATAAAGATTTCATATAACATGAAAACATATTTTTGTATATATCATTTTCCATTTCTTCATCATTAAGGGTTATGCTATTAATTATATAATTTCTAAGTTTTGTTTGCTTAGATAAAATGCAAAATGGATTAGAATTTTTTTTTTCTATTAACTGTATTTCAGTTTTTTTATCCTTTCGTTTTATTTTATCAGTGTTACTTGATAAAATTAACTTAAAACAATCGTATATTAAGAATAATTTCTTATATATAGCACATGTAAAATAGTTAATACTCTCATTCATGAATAATTTTTCTTTCCTTTGGCAATCTAAGTTTATATAATGAGTAAAAATAAAATACACACTCTTTATATTATTATCTAACATTGTATATTCATCTTCAATAGTTACTGGATATAAAACATATTCAACATTGTACAATAAATTTGATTGATATATGTTAAAATTTTTTTCTTTGTAATTATCATTTAAAACCTTTTCTTCCATTTTAAATAATTTTGCAAAGTTATGATGACATAGCTGTTTCGTGTAGTCTAATAATAAATAATTGTAATAATCAAACTCATAAAAATTTATTTTTGATTTAAAAATAGATGTCTTCATATATAAATTATTTATACAAAAGTCATATATTAATTTTGCTAATAAAAAATTTTTTAAGTACAATAAATAAAATACTACATGAAACAATTTTAGCCAAATTAAATTTAATATTATAATTTTATTATTATTAAAACATAGCAAATTGTTATTACATAATACTATTGATCGTACATTGCTCATTCCAGTGTAATACGAATCATAAAATAATATATTTAATAAATAGAATTCAATATTAATTTCGAAATCCATTTCATTTTGAACCATTTCATTCAAATCCTCATAACAAGATAAAAAAACATCTCCATTATGTTTTTCATCTATAAATTTTTTATTATTTGAATACGTTTCGTTGCTATATGGTACAAACATTTCTTTAAAAGATGATTTTTTTTTATCTTGTATGTGGTTTAGTGGTTTTGCTACTTTATCATCATTAGTTGTAAGTTGTTTTTCTTTATTAATATATTTGTCCATTTTATTTTTATATTTGTATTTTCTTATATTCTGTTTATCTATTTTTTCTAAAATGTAATTGATTTGGTATTTATTTCCTAATTTATTATAATACTGTTCATAATTTTCCTTATTGATTAAATGCTTTATTTTTTCTAAATTCATCTTTTTTAAAATAACATTTTCATTGTTATTAAAAATATTAAAAAAATGTTCCTTTTTTCCTTCTAATGATGAAATATTTTTATTTTTGTTTTTACTATCCATAGATATAAATGGTGTAATATAATAATTTAATAATAAAAAAGAAATGTAACCAAATTTATCACAAATACAAATTAATACCAAATTATTATAATATATTAAATTGATACTGTTATAAAAAGAATTTTTTAGACAATTTATAACATAAGGAAGATAATAAATTTTTTCCTCTTTTTGTTTAAAATTCATACACACGTATTTACTTCTATATTTTATTATTGAGCAATTTTTGAAATAGTCATAATATTCTAAAAAATCTTCTTTATATTCATAACATTTATCTTTTCTTTTTTTGATTTCATTTAGTTCATGTAATAAATAATAACTAATGTAACATTTTCTGGTAATAATAGGTGAATAAATTAAAATTAATCCATTTTTAAAAAGCAAAAATAAACATGTTTCTATCCATATTATATTTTCACTAATCGAACCAAAGCAAAAGTCTACTACTAAATTTTTATATTTATTCTTCTTTGATATAGATCTTTTAACTTTATTATCAATACTATGAGAAAAAAACTTTTCTTTAAAATCATTATTTGTTAAATCATCATTATAATAATTTAATATTGAATCAAATTCGTCACTTATATATTTTTTTTTAAGAGAAATATCACAATTTTCACTAGAGTCAGAAGTTTCAATATATTCACTATTTTGGGAATGATAAATTTTTTCTTTAATTTTTGTATTATTTCTATTATTATTATTATTAACATTAATGTTATTATTATTATTAACATTAATATTATTATTATTATTATTATTAACATTAATGTTATTATTATTATTATTATTAACATTAATGTTATTATTATTATTATTATTATTAACATTAATGTTATTATTAATGTTATCACTATTAACACTATTCTTAGTATCATTATAATCATTATCATTATTGGTATTATTATTACTATCATTAATAGCAACATTATAATTGTCATTATTACTATAATGATGGCCATTACAATTACTTTCATTGTAATTCTCTATATTGAAATGATCACTGTTGCTTGTATTCTCTATCTTTTCAACGTATTTAAGAGTATTGACATTGTTAGTATAATTCATGTTACAACGATTTTCATTATATTTATCAACGAAATAATTTCCATTAAAATTACTTACCTCATTATTTATTGGATTGTTTTTTCCTTCTTTACATTCATTATTTTCAATAATTTCAACATATTCACTTTCCCTTGTATTTTCAATAGCATCATTATTTTTATGAAAACTATTAAATTCACTACAATTTTTATCATCATCCGATTTTTCAACAAATTTTTCTTTAATTTCCATATTATCACTTTTTAAATAATTTAAATCTTCATTTATTTTATTTTGAAGAATATCAGAATCTGGAATAATTATTTTTATTTCTTCACTAATTGGACTATTTGTATTAATTAATCTAATTATAGCCCTAAAATTACAATTATATGGTTTAATTGAAGCAATTTTTTCGTAAGTTAATAATGCTATCACATTATTTGATTTATTATACCATTCTGCTTTAATTATTTTTCTTTTTGGAGAAATATTCAAAACTTTATTTTGTAAAAGTAATTCTGCTCTAACAAAATTATTTTTGATTAATTTATTTCTGATTAAAGCACATTCTTTGCTTGATAATAAAAATATTTTATTCTGATTTTTATTCACATGTATTTGTATAAAGAAACCAGTAGTTTCTACATTATAATTAATAATTTCAACTTGAAACTCCTCATAAAAACATTTAAAATTGTTGTGTGTATGCTTACCAATTACAACATAACTTTTAACTTTTTTACTATTATTTTCACCTTTGTTTTTATTATACTCGTTTTCAAATTTACTCCATTGTCGTAATATAAAATAGACACAGAATTCATTATTATTTAAATTATCGTTATCATTACTAATGTATTGATTAGGATCTGCTACAATATTTCTAGTTTTTATTGTACAAAATTTTAAATCTAATAAATGTTCAAAATGTTTCTTTTTATTTAAATATTTTTCTTCATAAGGAATATTTTTTTGCACACTATTAAAACGATTTTTATTAATTTTAAAAAGTGAACTTTCTAATATATTCTCAGAAAAGCAATTCTCAAAATATAATTTCATCTTTTATATATATTATACATACATACATATACATCATACATATATAAAAAAAAAAAAAAAATGAAAAGTTTTGATTAATAATGAAAAAAGTATTACACCATTTTTTTTTAAATATTTATTTTTTTAAATTTAAACTTAAAAAATAACAACTTCAAAAAAAAAAAAAAAATAAATAAATAAAAAAAAAAATAAAATAAAAAACATAAATTTTTTTTTTTTTTTTTTTAAATAAGATTTATATCAAATATTATTAAAGCATACAATATTTTTATATCTATGAAACAATTATAAAATAAAATACAGAAATTTACTTTTTAAAATCATATAAATTCATTATAATCATTTTTCATTATTCGACATATATTTATTTAATAACTTATAACAAAATTAAAAAAAGGGAAAAGAAATTTTTACATTAATATTAAAAATATGTTAATATAAAATTAAAAACAATTATATCAATAGAATTAAAAAAAATATATATTTTCTTTTTTTTTGTTTTTAAAAATATTTTTTTATAAATTATTTTCTCCAATATTAATTATGTTAAATTTTCTATAATTATAAAAAAGAAAAAAAAAAAAAAAAAGTTGAAATAATTAATAAAAACTTGATTAAAAAAAAAAAAAAAGAAACAAAAAACTAGAGAGTATTAAAGAAAAAAAAAAAAAAAAAAAAAAAAAAAAAG